TATTCATATATGTTGGGTACAAAACTTTAAATAAAACATTATTTAAAAAAAATCCACACTGTAATATTAATCTTTATCATTGAACAATGTCCTTTTCAAAAAATAGACACAGTGGAAGAAGAGAACCAAAACCAATGTTTCTATTTTCCTCCTCATTTGCATTGTGTGCCCTGGCAGTGCCTGAACTGAACTGGATTACTCTGTCACTTGTAATGTTTAGAAGTATCTTTAAAAGAAAATGGAACCTAACAGTGACTGAGAAGTGATTAAAACCCAGGCGAGAATGGTGATTGATATGTCTCCATGAGATCATTAGCCAGCTTAGATCTTTTAACAAATCCCAGTTATGGGTATTAGAAACCAGTTGAAGAGAGATGTAACAGAATGAATAGACTGAGAGATGTGTTCTCAGAAAATGGAATTTCGGAGAAGATGCACACACTACATCCCTAAGTCAATGACTTTGTTATCAAATCTGTTTCATTGTCATGTATATTAACATATGTAAGATGACTGTGAATCCACTGCACAATATAAATAAAGGAACCATTTTCAATCCTGTCCTTGATACTGTATGTCTGGTGATCCTGTGACTGATAGCGTGGTTCATCCACCCAAAACTGACAAAGGAGTTAAAGATGAATTATGCAATTCCAGGTGTAAATTGCATACTGCCCAAGACTAAGCACTGTGTACTGTGTAGTGTGAGATACTTAATGGGGCAGCAGGGATTTCATAAATCTTTCTAGCCGTTTGACTTGGAACATAAAAATAAAAGAAACCAATATTGTATTTTTGACTTCATCTTAACATGGAACTTATATGGAGTTTTGTAATTTATTTTTTTCAATATCCAAGCGAAGATCAAGAATTTAATTATTTTCTCAATAAATAGTGTGCTATTTATGAAAACTGACATGAAAAATACATTTGCACATTAGCCTTCCAGAATATATATATAAAGAAATTCTGGTGATCATTTCTTCCCAAATAACAAATAATAAGTATCAGATTTCCCCCAGTTATTATATGTCAGCTGGTCTTGCAGTTTTCAATAAAGTTTTTTGTTTTTTTTTTGTTAGACAAGACATGCATTGCTGACTCCACAACTTTTCAATAAAATATAGATCTTTAATTTATTCACTCCAGTTTAAAGTAAATCTGTCAGGACAGGTTCAAGTTAACAAAGAGAAACTCCCAAAGCAATGATATGTAATTACTTTAGCAGCTATAATTTTAAGTTACCTCATCTCCAGGCACACAGCTCCATGTTTCTACTACTCCTTCTTACCTCCTGCTACATATCAGCCCTGTTTGAGAACACTTCTTCAAACAGGCCTATCCTCTTTCAGAATGCTGTAATAATGGGTTTATTGCCAGCGAATTGCCATCAATATAGATTATCTGTCACAACCTTGGAATTGCTACAGGAGTCATCACAGTAACTAGAGTTCATGTGCTGTAGTTCCTGTGACTGTTTCTCTACTAACGCATTTTTGCTCTTCCTAGATGCACTTCCAAGAAGAGTAGGCATCCAGTGTAGATACTATGATGGAGAACAGGAGAAGTATAGGTAGGAGGGAGACCATATTGCTTAAGCCAATTTTTCTTTTTTTTTTCTTTTTTTATTCACAGTGCAGCACCTAATTAATGTAAAGTTAATGTCCCCATTTAACACATAACTTTACAGGTTCCCAAAGTAACATGTAATCACACATAGTCACAATATAACATGAATCCACCCAGAATCCCAATGAAACACTGGTTCACAAAGAATCCCAGTATGACACCGACTCACCCACAGTCACAAAGTAACATGGATTCACCAATAATCACAATATAACACAGATTTAACCAGTGTCACACTGCTATAGGTCTACATTGTGAGTAACAATGTAACATGGAATAACCCAGAATCACAATGTAGTAAAGATTTTCCAAAACGTACATCGTCAAACAGACACATCAAAAGTTATATGGTAACAGTCAGCCAGTGTCGAATTTCTAACCCTAAGGCTGTACAGATTCTTCTTTTATTTACACTACAAAGTGAATAGTTTGGGACATACCTACCTTGAAGACAGCCTTATAACAACATAGACTAATCTTCTAGCAAGCGCATCACACAATCAGCACATTTATTCTCATTGAACACCTGGACAAAGAACCATTGAACAACAAATATATTTAGCATTTGGTCTTTGAAGTGTGTGTTGTGTAAAAACCACTAGTTCCAATTCCTATACCCTTTCCCACTCCTAATCTAACACGTATAACTCACAGTAATCATGCTGCAAACATCTGTATTAGAGGGATAGATAATATCACATACATGAATTAGTGAAACTGGCACACTCACTGCCCATTCCCTCCACCGTACCCAAAGCTGGAACCCTGTAATCATGAATACATCCTTCCCAGTACTAGGATAACACTAAATAGATTGGAAAACTTTCATGCCAGCTGGACCTTTCCTGTATTGAGAGCCATTATAGACACATCTGTAAGTTAAGTCCAAGACTGGCATTCACCTGGCATGCACTTCCAAACCATGCCTCATTCTGTAACCTCCTCTCAAGATTTATTTATACAATTCATAGCTGTCACTTTTTCTAACATTGGCACTTAAACAGCCCCTATATGTAACCTTCTCTCAAGGTTGTCTCTCACAAGGAAGACATATAACCCTCTAGAATGGCGCTCACACAGACAAGTGTCACTTCTGAAAACTCTTACTCAGCAATACTTAGATACTTCCCATTACCATGGCACCCACCCACAATATTTGGTCTCCTCTCCTCCCTCTCCTCCGTCTGGCAATCATACATACATTCACCTGCACTCATTTATATCACATTCACTCAAGTGGACACTAATGCAGTAGTCATTGGGTTTATATATATAACAAGTGATACTGGCATATTAATCCGTCCATTGTATATTATAGATTGGCACTTCGACAATGTGTACCCTCACCCAATACCTGGTAGTGCCCACCCCTTCGCATCCAACAAGGACGGTACTCACACCGGACACACCTCTACTTTCCCTCATTGACCATCCTATAACTGGCACTCACCTTGAGTGCACACTTCTGCCCGCTATCCCTCCGGTAACACTCCAACACTTTGCCATTAATGCCCAGGCCCAGGACATGCTTAGACACTTTGTAGTCATCGGTTATGGCATGGCGTTTAATCTCCAACTTGATGGGCTGGACCTGCAGAGTGGGGCACTGGGCAACCGTCTGTGGAACATTGGCATTCTCTTCCATAGTGCCCACTCAGGACTTTCCAGCAGTCACCAATACATGCCTCATGGCGGCAGCTCAGTGCTAAAGTCCCAGGGTCTGTGACAGAAACCTCCCACAGCAAATCTGCCTCTACTAAGGAGGGGGGAGCCTGGGAACAAGAAGGAGAGCAAGAGAGGGAGGAGGGAGGAGGGAGGGAGAGGAAGGGAAGTACAGTCTCATGATTAACCACTTCTTGGCCTGTCTGTTGAGCCATTCACAGGAAGTATTACCACTGAGATACATTTAATTTGTTTAACGGACTAAATGCTATACACAGAGTACTCCTAATGAAATCTAAACCTACTTATAGGATTAGGCCTTTAAATTATCATATTCTTGTAGTGTTGTCTTTCTCAGGATTAGTGTCTGAAACTCAGACTGTGAATGATGTCCACTAATCTGACAGACCCTACAAAGCTCTCACAGTCCTTCATTTAGCTCTGTGTCCATGTGATTTAGCAATACTTAAACGTCTGTCTGCATTGATAATATGTTCCGCAATAATTGGTGTTAAGCATATTGTAATCCTCAAGAGCAATGGGGGGGGGGGGGCTGTTCTAAATGTACTCACACACCACTAAACATTCTGGAGAAACAACAAAATCTTTAAAAAAAATAATAATAATAATTAAAGACATTTTAAAAAAAAGTATATTGTTTTAAAAAGGCTTAATATAAAATATTGCAGACCATACAAGTGTGATTTTGACTTTAAAAGAGTGGTTGCATAATTTTGAATGTTGTTACAACAACTCAACGATGAAGTTGCATCCGTAAAAAAAAAATGTGGTATATGAAGTCCCATATGAATGTAGGCTAGAGTGGTGTACTTTGCCCCATAACACTTAATCTTTTAAGCATGGAGGTATCGAAACTGTGAGTTAGCGGTAACTTAGTCAAGCATGATGGGAGTTGATGGAAAAAGAGGAAAGAGATAAGAAAGTACAAGTCATCAAAAAAGCTAGAAATAAAGTTTCTGCCACTTTCGGTAGAGAGTGAAAATAAGAAGGAAATTATAAGAGGGAACATCTAAGCAGACATGACAAATCCAGGCTACGGGGTATTGTTTGAATACAGTGTAACTCACACGAGAAGATACCAGCTCCCTGTGCAATGTTAGGGTAAACCTAAAAAAATATGAGGAACGTGCTAACAGCATATGAAAATACTGTAACCTTAATAACTTAATGACATAGATAAATATAACAAGATATACAAAACAACGCAAATGGTAAGTGAAACAGAGAACTGATAAATAACATAAGTTGCAACATTGTAAGAGTGTCAGAGCCAGTACGAAAGGAGAAGTCACTCAATGAAGTGATCATAAATGAAAAGAGAACCTCACATGTGGAGTGCCAATAAATGGGGAAGTGTCATCTGTGTACGGGACAAGAGAATGTGTGCCCTGCTTAGTAGAGTTGTAGTTAAAACACTTCATGCACCATAACCACTACCCTCTGTTGTTAGAATAATGGTTCCAGGGGACGTGGTCTGAACCTTGCCGAGAGCGGTCGCACGACGGCCGAGCTCCGACACTACAACTGCAATAACCCCGGCATTACCGTTCCAGCGACAACAATTTGACCCTAAAAGTGATCTGGATACACAACATGATAAGGGGAAACTAAAAAAGAAACTTAAAACACAATCAGGGAATGGAAGTAGGAGTGTCGGAGACATGTTCCCGACGCGGCCTAAAACCAAGATGGCTGCGGGACCAGAGCCGCCTAAGGAATTAATGGATGCTCCAGATGCCATCCAGGAGGCACTACAACCCGATTTACCCATGCTGAGTGGAGACCTGAAGGCGCCAGCAACCAGAGGAGATATAGTGAACCTCCTGAGCAACTTCAGATCCTACTTCCGTGCAGACCTGGCGGTGCTGCAAGAAGAGGTGATGGCCTTTACGAATTGGGTTAAAATGGTGGAGGAAGATGTCTCTCTCCTTGCACAACGCCAAACGGGCACAGTGGAGGAGATGCAAGTCATACAGGCCTTCCACTAGACGGTACTAACAAGGCTAGACGCCATGGATGATGCACATTAGCGCAACAACATCAGGCTTAGAGGGTTTGCAGGATCAATCACAGACGGGGAACTGCCCCACTTCATCCGCTGACTTCTCGCGGATATCCTACCTCCCTGGTTGCTGAAAACTAAATATACATACGAAAGAAGAGTAGGCTTCTGATTCATAAATCTTAAATACAAAACAAGAGGCAATGGTGCAATACAGTGGATAATTACAAGTGAAATATATGTGGGTCAACTGAACACTCATACTTTATAGATCTGTCTCTGCTCTATTTAGAAGGCCTGGACGGAATAATCCCCGTCTATGGATATAGGTAGAGTGTCTTTAAGGCTTGATATCAAGATGGTAAGAACATCATATGAAAAAGAAACATAAGAAAATTCCAATGGTATGGTATGTATATAAATGCGGTAATATAGAATGGAAACAATCCTAGGTGGCCGCCATTCTGTATACGAACACATGGCGAGAACAAAGGATGCCGGCCATCTTAAATCTCCAGTATGCGGTCAGCGGGACTTACACGTGAATTGCCTGGAACTGTTTTCGGCATGGCAAACACACGAATGGCCGGTCAGTATGGAAGTCCAGACTGACTACTTTCCACTCAATGTATCAAACCAGCATTCGGGAGTTTGAATCTACCGAACAAGGGGAGCATTCGCATGTAACCAGCTGCAACATACGAACGGTAGTTTTCGTGTAATTAGGTGCGAACGGAGACCGGCTCTTGCTGCTAATTTCATGGAATTCTCAATCGGATACCTCCACGTGGCAAGCTGGTCAAACTTCCACACGATGCGACACGAAAACTACCAAATGGATTTTCGTGACATTTGGAACTGTGACTCCCAGTATCCTCAGCTACCCAGGGATGTGATTATTATGTTTGTATGTTATTCAGAAAGTACTTTTCTAAAAATGTTAAAAATTTTAATATTTCTGGCCAGCAGATAATTGAGTTTAGTATGTTGCTGAAACTCAATTATCTAGCCTGTCCCAGAGGAGGAGTCTGCTATTGTATAAATTGAATGCCTGTTGCTTCCAGTAAATCAGTCTTGTTCCAGCATTAAGCTTTGGCTCATGTGTGGATTATTTGGCGATACCAGCGATATTTATTCCTGTAGATTATTGGGAATATTCTTCTATGGGGAAAAAGGGAATATTGGACAGTGATACAGACTACTACCGTCACAACTGGTTGGCAGCGGCGGGATTTTCCTTTTTTTTTTCCTGCACCAAGATTCCAAGCAGACACTGGGAACAGTGAATGGAAGGCTGGTACACCCTGCTGAAACAAAACACATTAAAAGAACTGTTGGAAGTTCGTGGAAGGATTGCTTGCAACAAAACCAAGCGGGTCATAATTGCTGAGTTAATGGAGCTAGACCGGGAGAACTTGGTTGCAGCAACACCAACCATTCAAGAGATGGAGACACCGGCGATTCGGGAGAATGAATCGCCAGCCAACAGGGAGATTCGGGAGAGATTAGCATGGTTCGGTCCGATCCCAATGGCTGACATTGTGCTACAGGTAATGAACATTGTAGCGGAAGAGGCGAAACAAAAGAGGGAAATAGAGCTGCAAATGAAGCTGGCTGAAATCCAACGGGCAGCAGCAAACTCCCCAAGCAGCGAGCACAGCACAGCAGACACGAGGAAAATTCCTTTCAGTGCCTTTAAAGCCTTTAATGAGAAGGACTGCGAGATTGATAGCTATCTAGCGGATTTCGAGCGACAGTATAACCTGCACAGAGTAGCTACGGACGAATGGGTTTCGATATTGGCTGGGAAGTTGTCAGGCCGTACCAGAACAGGAGATCCACAGCTATGCAAGGGTTAAAGAGGCGCTCCTGGCTCGTTATGCAGTGACCCCGGAGTCATACCGTCAAAAGTTCAGAGACTCACGCAAAACGGACAAGGATTCCTATGCAGAATGGGCCTGCCAGTTACACCTGTCTGCATCTAATTGGGTCAACAGTAGTCAAGCTACCACCGCGGATGACATCCTACAATTAATTCTACTGGAACAGTTCTACGACCACATCCAGGCAGATATTAAAGACTGGGTGAGAAACCGCAGACCCGGTTCCTTACCAGAGGCTGCCAAGTTAGCAGATAAGTATGCGGATACTCACAGGACCACACGGGTCACACCACGGGTCCAACCTCTTCGACCAGCGGTACTATCCAGCAGACCGGTAGCTTCCAACTCTCGCTACCCACGGCAGACTGACAACGATCTACATTGCTTTAGATGTAAACAATTGGGTCATACCCGATGGACGCCACCAGGTCCAATTGGACTCGGCCTGGCTTTCATCAAACCCCGGCAGCAGCCCATTGTGTGGATTATCCGGTACTATCTACCTGGGACGCCAAGGAGTCGGGAAGAACCCTTGGGCACCGTATGTGAAGCGCTCCTAGTCCAATCCACCATAACGGACAATCGGAAACACCATTGTCAGCTGGTAATGGTCAACGGAAAGACAGCACGGGGCTTAAGAGACAGTGGCGCTACCATCACCCTAGTGCAACGACATCTCATCGATAATTCGGAAAGACCGGGGAAATCTATTGCTGTGAGAGTGGCAGGGGGGGCAGTGTATTGGATTCCTGCTGCGCATGTGCATCTGGACTGGGGTACTGGAGCTGGCAATGTTCAAGTGGGCGTGATGAAAGAGTTACCCTCCGAAGTCGTGCTGGGCAATGATATTGGCCCTCTAACTTCTGCTTTTGCATCAACACCCCCTCACGAGGCTCAAGCAGTAACCACCAGAGCACAGAGTCGAGCTGCCGAGAGCCATCCACCTCCTACAGTGACCCAGGTAAGCCAACCTGACCTACCCCTGACTGTAGTGCCCCTGCCCTGGGATACCCCGAAGGACTTTGGGAGGGAAGTAGCCAGAGACCCTTCCCGCAGAAAGTAAAGGGAAAAAGCTAGGAGGGGACGGGGGGGGGTTAGAGAAGGAGCAGTTCATCTGGGAAAAGGGACGTTTATACAGGCTCACCGAGACACGGGTCAACACACCCAGGCCCCGGTAAAAACGCCAGCTGGTAGTTCCACGGAAATACCGGCAGGAGTTATTAAGGATTGGGCACGATGTCCCTTTAGCAGGACACATGGGAATACGCAGGACATTATATAGTGTAACCCAGAACTTCTTCTGGCCTGGGGTATCCGACGACGTCCGGGCGTATTGCCAGACGTGCGAGGTATGTCAAAGGATAGGTAAAAAGGGAGACCACCCGAAAGCCAAACTGGTTTCTATGCCCATAATAGAAGAACCTTTCACGAGAGTAGCCGTAGACCTCATAGGACCCCTGGCCCAGCCTAGCCGCTCCGGTAAGCGCTATATCCTTACCGTGGTGGATTACGCCACTCGTTACCCCGAAGCGGTAGCCCTTTCTAATATCCAGGCTGAGATGGTGGCTGATGCCCTGGTCAAGATATTCTCTCGAGTGGGATTTCCCAAAGAGGTCTTATCCGACCAGGGTACGAAGTTCACGGCCGAGGTGACTCAGCAGATATGGAAAGTCTGCGGAGTTAAATCCCTGACTGGTTCCCCATACCACTGGGAATCCACTGGGTTCTCACCCTTCGAACTGCTATGTGGGAGACGGGTGAGAGGTCCACTAGATCTTATCAAGGACCACTGGGAAGGGCAGACCGAGATAGAGGGGACCCCAATTGTGCCATACGTGCTGGAGCTGCGGGACCGCATGGAAGAATTGGCACAGACTGTACAGGAAAATCTCCAGGCGGCCCAGCAGCACTAGAAAGTGTGGTACGACCGACGGCTAGGTACCGTAGCTTTCAGATCGGACAAAAAGTCATGGTGCTAAGACCAGTCCGAACTGACAAGCTCCAGGCTGCCTGGCAGGGCCCCTATAAGGTTATAGGACAGGTGTGCGATACCACCTACACCATAGCCAACTGCGAGGATGATGATGTGAAACGAACATTTCACATCAACATGCTTAAAGCATATAACGAGAAGGCTGAGGAGGTGACCGCCATCTGTGCTCCAGCTGGAGAAGACACAGAGGCTCTACCCCTACCCGACTTATTAGGAAATAATGAAGAGACAAGGCAGATAGAAAAAGTTCAGTTAGGAAAAATGCTGGAGCCCCAAGATAGGGCACAGGCTATACGCTTACTAGAAGCCAAACAAGCCACGTTCTCGCAGGAGCCCGGGTATACCCCCACTAGCCATCCACAAAGTAGAGACCCCGGGGCAGGCGCCCCTAAGGCAACCCCCCTACCGTATTCCCGAAGCTGTCCGAGACGGGATGCGGAAAGAAATTGACGAAATGCTTTGGCTTGGGGTAATAGAACATTCAGACAGTCCTTGGGCCTCACCGGTAGTCTTAGTGCCAAAAAAGGACGGGACGACCCGCTTTTGTGTAGATTACTGGCGGCTCAATGATAAGACAGTCACAGACGCCTATCCGATGCCACGGATGGACGAACTGCATCTCTGCAGGGAAGTATCTGACCACAATAGACCTATGTATGGGATATTGGCAGATCCCCCTAGCAGAAGATACGGTATCCAAGTCCGCTTTCATCACTCCGTTTTTTTACCAATTTCGGGTTATGCTCCGGCCACCTTCCAACGGATGGTAGACCATTTGTTGGAAGATCTCCAGGATTACGCGTGTGCCTACCTAGATGATATCGCCATCTACAGCGATACCTGAGAGGCACCTGGAACACGTAGGGGCAGTATTAGACAGGATCAAGGGGGCCGGTTTAACCTTGAAACCAGACAAATGTCACATGGGTATGGCGGAGGTACAATATTTGGGCCACCGAGTTGGGTGTGGTAAGCAATGGCAAGAGCCAGCTAAGATTGAGGCCATTGCTGATTGGCCCACTCCCGTACCAAGACGCCTTCTTGGGAACAGCCAGCTATTACAGGCGCTTTGTACCGGAATATAGCGCCCTGGCCAAACCCCTGACTGACTTGACCAAAAAGAAGTTACCCCGACAAGTCCTGTGGTCCCCGGAGTGTGAGGTGGCTTTCCAAGCGTTAAAGAATGCTCTTGTTAATGCTCCAGTGTTACCTACCCCAGATCCTAACAAAAGATTTATTGTCCACACAGACGCTTCAATGTTTGGACTGGGGGCAGTATTAAGCCAGATCGGAGAGGATGGAGGAGAGCACCCGGTAGCCTACCTGAGTCGGAAGTTGTTGCCAAGGGAGGTCAGTTATGCGACCATTGAGAAAGAGTGCCTGGCGTTAGTCTGGGCTCTCAAAAAACTCACTCCATATCTCTATGGCCGTGCCTTCACCCTTATCACCGACCACAATCCTTTGGTCTGGCTCAACCGGGTCTCAGGGGACAATGCCCGTTTGCTGCGCTGGAGCCTTGCCCTACAACCCTATGATTTTACTATACATCAGGCAAGCAAAATGGGACCACAGATGAACTGTCACGCCAAACTGACCTGGCCTCAGAATAAACTTTGACTTTCCTGCCAACCCTACTGGACCAGGAAAGGTCCAACCGGGTATGCCGGAGCAGGGAGAAAAAGGGGGGCCATTGTGAAGGATTTCCATATACTTAACTGTGTGCCTGCGGTTATATCCTCTCCCTGCTGTTTAAATGATTTTAACCGATTCGTTTTACCATGTGTTTGAGGAATGTATTCGTTCTACTGAACGGAGACCACCCTGGGTAGCAATCTGAATTTGGAACGTTATGAAAACCGCAACTTAATTGAGTGCTCCTAGGTGGCCGCCATTCGGTATACGAACACGTGGCGAGAACAAAGGATGCCGGCCATCTTAAATCTCCAGTATGCGGTCAGCGGGACATGAATTGCCTGGAACTGTTTTCGGTATGGCAAACACGTGAACGGCCGATCAGTATGGAAATCCCGACTGACTACTTTCCACTCAATGTATCAAACCGGCATTCGGGAGTTTGAATCTACTGAACAAGGGAAGCATTCGCATGTAACCAGCTGCAACATACGAATGGTAGTTTTCGTGTAATTAGGCGCGAGCGGAGACCGGCTCTTGCTGCTGATTTCATGGAACTCTCAATCGGATACTTCCACGTGGCGAGCTGGTCAAACTTCCTCATGATGTGACACGAAAACTACCAAACGGATTTTTGTGAAATTTGGAACGTGACTCCCAGTATCCTCAGCTACCCAGGGATGTGATTATTATGTTTGTATGTTATGCAGAAAGTACTTTTCTAAAAATGTAACAAATTGTAATATTTCTGGCCAGCACTTGTGAATGGGAATTCACACTGGAGTAGAGCAGCCCACAGCTTCCTATTGCAGCTTCTGTCCTTGAGCTGTACCTGGCCAACCTGGTCCCCTCTAAAACCCAGGGAAGCCTCCCACATTGCTAGATATACACAGAGCTGCAGAATAACCCTCCGCTCATACAAATAATGCAAACAGCTCACACACAAACATACACATACAGTACGCACAAACACAACACCACCAACAATCCACATACATACACACAACCCCACATGCAGCCTCTCACATGCAATACCCCAAACAGCCCACACATATATACACACACTACCAAATACACAATGTGACATATGACATATCCATCCACACACAATTCCACAAGCAGCCCCCATACACAGCCCAAATTCATAGGTATTATACATGATACCACAAACTATTAATGAACATATAAAATATAATAGCTCATATACGCACAAATACAACGATACAAAGCAACTGCAGTATAAATAACACAAGCAGAATATGGCAACATGCACACCTCAATTTAAAGAAATAGGACCGACACGCTATGGGACATCACAATCATATTTCGGCACAGTGCTGCTAAAAGGTTGCCTACCCCTGCCCTACACTCTGCTCTTAAGCAATGCTTTAGGTTTTCTTTTATGTCACTGTTTAATGTCACTGCAAATTGTACTTTTTGACATATTGGTGCAAGACAAAATTAACAAATAAATAAATAAATAAAAGAATAATGGTTCCAGGTGTGGGAAACATTTGAAACAGTTTGACTTCTTATCTGGAATCTGCCGGGCGACGTTCACTTCCTCTACTTCCTCTTCTTCAGCATGGAGCTTCCCTTGGGTCTGAACTAAACCCTGCTGTGCAGGACAACTTCATTGCCCGAGATAGTCAGCTGATCACTCTGACATTGCAGTGAAGGGAGAGAGGCAGGAGCTGCTGCATTACCAGGTAGGTAATGCCTGCTGCATTAGGAGCTGCTGCATTACCATCAGCCTCAAAATTACCAGGGCACCAAGCAAGCCACCCTCCTGTACACCAATGTATTCTAACAGGAGGGTGTCTGCAAATATAAAAAAAATATATATTTATGTGTTTGGTCAGATTGTGTGTGTGTGTATCTGTGTCAAGGTGTGTGTAAGTGTCAGTGTATGTGTGTGTAAGTATCCGTGTGCATCTGTGTGTCAAGGTGTGTGTATCTGTGTATCAAGTTGTGTGCATGTTGTAAGGTGTGTATTTTTGTGTCTGTGTCTGCATGTGTCAGTGGGTATATGAATTTGTGTGTATGTCTCAGTGTGTTTATATCGGTGTATATGTGTGTTAATGTGTATGTACAACTGTAAGTATGCATGTCAGTGTGTGTAGCTGTGTCAGGATGTGCATCTTTGTTCTGCATCTGTGTGTTAAGGCATGTATCTCTATGCATGTATACATGTCCATGTGTGCATTGTGTGTGAATGACAGTGTATGTCTCTGTATGCCTACGTCTTTATGTCTCTCTATGCCCGTCTCTGTATGTCTCGGTATGACTGCGTCTCTACGTCTCTGTATGTCTGTCTCTGTATGCCTTGTTCTATATGTCTTTGTATGCCTGCGTCTTTATGTCTCCATACGCCTGTCTCCTTTTGTCTCTGTATGCCTGTCTCCGTATGTCTCTGTATGACTGCGTCTTTATGTCTCTGTATGACTGCATCCAGGGCTTATGTTATGTTGGCTTTATGTTAGCTTGGGCCGCGGCCGCCAATCTGTCAAAATTGATTATTTTAAGTGTGCCGCCAGCCATGTTATCTGGAACTAGGGAGCATTTACATTGTTGCTGACCAGCACCCAGGGCCGCCATCAGGGGGTGACAACCATAACGGTGGTCACCGGCCCGGCGGCCCTGGGGGGCCCAGCTGCCCAGGCCCCATGTTTAGCGGCGGAACTGCCGCCGGTGCAGTTCCACCGGGGCCTGCACGCTGATGGGGCCCGGTCAGCGCTGTGGCCGTGGTATAGCGCGACCGGGCCCCTTTTAAAAAAAAATGCCGCCACAGCGCAAGTGCTGCTGGGAGGAAGTGGTCACTTCCTCCCAGCTCACTCCAACGGGAGGAGCGCGTGCCCGGCAATGAAGAGGAAGTGCCAGCCGACTCCCAATCCCATCAGTCCCAGCCACCCTCCTGCAAAGACAAGGTAAGAGACAAGAGGGTGGCTGGAAAATGAGCTGTGTGTGTATGTGAATGTATGTCTGTATGTATGTCTATGTCTGTGTGTATGTATGTATGTCATTATGTATGTATGTCTGTATGTATGGATGTCTGTCTGTATGTCTGTATGCATGTCATTATGTGTGTATGAATGTCAGTCTATGTATGTCTGCATGTCATTATGAATGTGTGTATGTATGGTGTCAGTGTCTGTATGAATGTATGTATGCCAGTATGAATGTATGTTTGTATGTATGTCTGTATGTACATCTGTATGCATGTCTGTATGCCTGTATGCATGTCTGTTTGCCTGTATGCAAGTCATTGTGTTTGTATGAATGTCAGTGTATGTCTGCATATCATTATGAATGTGTGTATGTCTATCTGTCTGTATGAATGTATGTATGCCAGTATGCATGTCTGTTTGCCTGTATGCAAGTCATTGTGTTTGTATGAATGTCAGTGTATGTCTGCATATCATTATGAATGTGTGTATGTCTATCTGTCTGTATGAATGTATGTATGCCAGTATGAATGTCTGTCTGTATGTCATTATAAATGTGTCTGTATGTCCTGATGCATGTGTGTCTGTATGTATGTTAGTATGTGTCTGTCGCTATGTACGCCTGTGTGTCTGTATATGTGTCTCAGTATGTGTGTGTCAGTATGTATGCCTATATGCGTATCAGTATGTGTGTCTGTATGTATGTTAGTATGTGTCTGTCACTTTGTACGCCTGTGTGTCTGTATATGTGTGTATGTCTCAGTATGTGTGTGTCAGTATGTATGCCTATATGCGTGTCAGTATGTGTGTCTGTTAGTATGTATCAGTGTGTGTGTGTATCTGTGTCCTTTTGTATCAGTGAATGTGTTTTTGTCTGTGTATGTATTCCTGTGGGCGGGATTTGGAGGCGGTCTCTGTGGGCAGTTTTGGAGGCAGCCCCCCAGGGGCCCAGACCCTGAGCTCAGTTAGGGGCCCCAAAATTTCTGGTGGCGGCCCTGCCAGCGCCCGGTAGATCACCGGTCCGGTGGCATACACATCAACCCTCAGAGCCAGGCCCTCCCTCCCAGATATCCATTGCGGCGGTGGCAGCAGCACGAGGGCGCTTCAATTCCTCGTTCCTGCCCCTTCCCCTGTACATGGGGAGAAGTGGGCAGGAGCATAACAGGAAATGTGCTGAGAAAGGGCGTGATGGGCCACATGGCACAGGCAAGATGAACATAGGAACAGCAATAAAGGTGTGTCAAAGAATGTGTTAGTCTGCTTCATTCAGTATGTTTGTGTATGTCAGTCTGTATTGGTCAGTGTGTGTGTATGTCATATGTGTAAAGTAGGTCTGTATAGGTCTGTATGGGTCATTGTGTGTCAATGTGTGTATCTGTATGGGTCAGTTTGTGTGTCTGTATGGGCCATTGTGTGTGTCTGTAAGAGTCATTGAGTGTGTCTGTATGGGTCAGTGTGGGTCAATGTGTGTGCCTGTATAGGTCATTGTGGGTGTCTGTATGTGTCAGTGTGTGTGTCTGTATGGGCCATTGTGTGTGCCTGTATGGGTCATTGTGCGTGTCTGTATGTGTCAGTGTGTGTATCTGTATGTGTCATTGTGTGTGTCTGTATGTGTCAGTGTGCGTGTGTGTGTATGCATGGGTCAGTGTTTGTGTCTTCATGGTTCAGTGGTGAGAGTTGTTGGATTTGCTGCAGGATGTTAAATGCAGTGTTGCCCCAGATGTCCCACTATGGATAGTTTGTGAGTTCTGTGTTGGAGAGCTACACAGTACTTCAAGAATACTACTAGATGTTTGATTGCTGACCAGAGCTTAGGTCCATCTAGTTCCCATGAGATCTGAAACAACATTCAATCTGCCAGGCTTTGCTGGCATTCCTGGAGCCATTGCTCTTATTGTCAGCTACTGCTATAGTATTTAACTAGTCTAGGGTAATACCTCAGATACCTTTACTGTGGAATCAGCTAAGGGACGCCTGGTCAGAGGCAGAGTGTCTTATTACCAGTGAATATTTCTTACTCTTGCAAAGGTACTGGGACTCCCTACTGAGACGCCTGGTTCTTGGTGCTGACAGCAGCCTCCAGAATGACACACTGTCCATGTCATTCAGGTCATTGCTCAGCAAGATGGACTGGCTCACAGCAAACTCCAACAAAACTTCCACTCCCCACTTACAATCTAGGTGCATTCAGGCCACAGGAATTAAAGTACTATGGAAATACAGTCTAGAACACATTGATTATGCCTCCAGTGGTTGTCAGTTGGATTTGTGTAGAAGTTGCCAAATAACCCAGTCTCTAGGATTCTCAACCAAAACACACACAGAACATATGCCGGAGGGCTCCTCACATACACGGTTATTCACTAAACACCGCATTTTGATCTGATGTTTAAAATTTGGTGAAAATGTCGAATTTCTGTCTGAAATGGCAACTTTCAGATTTACTAAAGCAAATTCTAGTCTGAATTAAGTCAACCCAACTGAATTTCCAATAAATCAAACAGATGCATTTGGTGTCTGGTTTAAAATCAGTGCTTTTTGCATTCAAACATTATACAAAGTAACATTTACAAGCATTTTAAGAGTGTCCCATTATAATGACAGATTATAAAGAGCCAATTGTTATGAGAAATCGTTGCTTTTATATTTACTGAATGAAACACCCCTGACACCCTCTTACCCCCCACCCCCTTCATTGAGACTCTATTGGCGAAACGCGCGTCAGGGGCGCATGGTGCACTCTTGCATTATCAGAGTGTATTTACAAACCTGTTTAAATTATTCAGCTACATAATTTAGGAATTGCCATAGATTGTTGTGTGTGTTTTTTTTATTTTATTTATGTTTGTGTCTTTGTTGTGGAACATCTAATATTATAGCCATACAAACTGTTTTATCATATTTTTCCATCTTGTTCAGTTAGTTCCCTCTAAAGCACTCGGGATGTTCAGGGTGTCATCTCTTATTCTGTTAATACACTCATCGCAAAGGACTATCCTCCCTTTTTCCCTATAGCAGTGTAAGATGGGAAATAGCACCATTTAAGGCTTTTTTTGTTGCAATAAAATGTCATTGCTGCCTTTGCACAATACACTGTTCAGGATGTTACTGGTTATTATGTTGTTTTTGATTTTAGAACAAACACCACTGTTAAGGCCCTGGGGAGATAGGGCAGCTAAGCGGACAAGGGCACATGTAGGAGTGTGGGGATAGATGCAGGGGAGTGGTTGGGAAAGAATGTGTGGGTGGGATTATGTTCTGGGAAAGTATGTGTGGGTGGGATTATGTTCTGGGAAAGTATGTGTGGGTGGGATTATGTTCTGTGTAAATTAGTGTGGGGGAGGTCTTACCTCAGTGCCACTTGGGATTCGGGCCAGCAAACAGCTTCCTGTCCTCCTGCTCCTGTTTGCCTGGGCCTGCAGATTTGCACAGCTTGAGGGATGAGGTTGAGGCCTCCTGGCTTCCCTCAGAGCTGCTGCAACATGGATGGTGGCCGGCGACTCCTGATTCAGGTGCTCGCCTCTCCTGGATCCTCTCCCCTGGGCCTTCCCTGTGGCCCCTGCTCCGCTCTCCCATGGTGGCTGCCGGTGTGGGTGCTCCCCCAGCGGCCTGTCTCCATCTGGGGCCTTCCCTGTGGCCCCTGCTCTCCTCTTCCCTGGGTGGCTGCCGGTATGGGTGCTCCCCCCCCCGTGGCCTGTCTCCTTATGGGTCCTTCCCTGAGGCCCCTGCTCCTGGGGGCCGCGATGGTGCCGGCCGGCATTCCCGTCGCCCGCTGGCTCCGCTACCCCCCCGATGCTGCTCCTCGGGCCCGGTTGAGGAAGTGGAGCCCGGGCCAGAGGCATCACCTGGGCTGCGTGTCTGAGGCTCCAGACACGCGGCCTGCAACTGCCGCGGAGGATGCGCGTCCTACAGCGGCCGCACAGGACTCGCGGCCTCTCCCTCCTGCTGCCGGATCACAGGCTGCGCCTCCGGCATTGGGGATTGTGCCGGAGGTTGTAGGAGGCGGGCGGCGCGTCCCGCGAAGTGGGTGGCTGGTCAGAGGTCTTCCCGACCGCTGCATGGCTGGTGCGGCAGGGCCATGAATAGGACCCTGGCGGTGAGTGGGGCCGCACGGGGCTCTAAGGTACTGCCGGGGGGTGAGGGGGACCTTTACTGGGCTGGGGGCCTCCTCCCCCAGGGGGGGATCTCTCTCCCTCACACCTCCCCTCCTGGTTTCCTATTTCTGTTTCCCCCTGGTCTCTCTCCCTCTCTCGGTTCTTTCACCCTCTTTCTGTTCCTCTTCTCTGTGTCCTCCCTCCTCCCCCTGTCATTCCCCGCTCTTACCTGTTCATGTCCCTTCTGTTCTTCTCTCTGCCTTCTGTTCTTCTCTCTGCTGGTTACTTACCTCGGCTGCCTCCTGGTGGAGCATGGGCTCACATCCTCTCCGTGCCCTTCTCACAGGTCCTGGCTGCAGTTCATTGCTATGCCCAACCTGGAACACAGTGGTAGCTAAATTACGTGTCTTCTGCCTTGACCTTCTACGCTAATTATGCCGCGGGCGTTATGCCGGGCTTTAGCTGGTAAGTACGTTGTTCCTTATTTTATTCTGTCAGGTCCTCTTAAACAAACAAGCAAAAAAAAAAAAAAAGGGAACTAAAATGGATGGAAATTACCAAATTAAATAAATTTTTACAAATATATAATTACCACAAAAAAAGAAATATTTTTTTTTATATAAATAAAGAAAGAAATAAGTGAAAAAAGGAAATACTATAAAAAAAAAAAAAAAGAGGGTACATCCCCCCCTTCATTTTCAGTATGGATGTATCATGTGTTATAGACGTTCTACTTTTATATGTTTTACACTTTTCTGCAGCGTCAGGCGCGGCTAATAGCGCTGGCGATGCCTCCCAGGAATTGGGCGTTTCATGTGACTCTGGGTGCTGCTGAGCAAGGATAGCACGCTTGGCTTGCGCGACATACTGGGGAGCAGATTGGAGAAGGGGTTTTATTGGAGGTATGTTTCCTCCTGCCACTGGGAGTCCCATGACTAAGCGGGACTTTAGGGACTCCGGGAAGGTCGTGGGGCACATACCGTAATCGGATACACCCCATGACGCGTTATCGAATACAGCTCCCCAAGAATGGTCCACGTGGTTCTGCTGTCAGGAGCACTGCCTTAGCACTGTGCGTTTTCGTCCTTTCTTGGGGGGGGGGGTTGGTGGGGGGACACCCAGCTCCTCACTGGCCCCCAGCCGGAGGGTAGGAGAGGTTGGTAAGTGGGTCCTCGTGCCATTCCAGCGGGAGGGCTCCGGTGGTGGGGGGCCCATCCCATCTTCCGCGGTTCATGCGGGCAATCTGTCGGGATAGGGGACATGGGTGCGCTCCGTGCAGGACCCTCAGTCCATATGAGAACTCCATCGGGTGGTGTGGGACCAGTTTAACAAGAAGCTTGATAAGCTTACCTCCCGATCTTTTTAGTGTGCCATTGAAGTCCGCTCCGCGGGTCCCCCCCTTTGGGATATGGTGCCCATGGAGGAGCGGGGTCGATATCGCAGATTCCTTATTTACTCAGTTGTCGTTCCCTGTTTGGGGCTGGGTTTGTGATGGTGGCATGACACAGCCGTCTGAGTGGGTGGGACTGCGGGGCCCTGAGGCCTCACTGATGAAGGCAGCTGTGGAATCAGTTTTCCGGCTGCTGCCGGTGCGCCCGGCTGGTTATTGTTTCTGGGCTGTGTTTCTGACGGTCAGGATTAGGTGGCTTTGTGCCTCCACAAGAGTGGCTCCCAATGTTGCTTATGTGTGGGTCCGTCAGTGTCGCATGTCCGCACTCTGCTGCTGCAGTGTTTTCTTGGGGTAGTGTTTCAGCATTTCGGAGTTCCGTGGCCCAGGACATATCCGTAGTCTCATGTAGTTTCCTGGATAGTATGCTGTAGTCTCCTGGATAGTGGGATCGATTCTCCCTGGCTGCGGTTTAAGACATCAGGCAGGAGGCATCAGTGGTTTTGGGGGGCGTTGTGGGTTTCCCGCTGCGCTACCCGTGGGCTCTCCTGGGTTAGCTGGGCTTTGCCTGTTGGTGTTGCCCTTGGGGCTGTATGGGGTTCCTTCTGGGCCTCCATGGTGGTGGCTTTTGCAATCAGGCTCCCTAAGTTCCTTTCACTGACTTCCACCTGTTTGCCGCTGCAGCAGTTTTGGGGGTTTTGGGGCCATTTTGGGCTCTCAATGGTGCTGACTCTTGTCCATTAAGCTGGCAAGCATCGGGGCTCTGGCAGACTCTGGCTGTCTTGGAGCTTCCCCATTCTGGTGGCAGGTTAGGCATGGGGTATCCAATTCGCGAACAGATGGGTAGTTCTTCTTTTGGGACAATCGTGGGGTGGTGCAGGCTGGCTTTGTCATGTGACAGTACCCTCTACACCGGTGGGGCTCGGCGCTGTTTGAGTCTGGGGGTGTCTGATCAGGCGGGGTTTTCCCGGGTATTCACATTGTTATGGCCGAGGCTATTTCTTGTTCACTATGGGATGTACTTCGGGTGGAGGCTTCAAGGGGCCAAATTATAGGGCAGTGGAGATGTGGTCGATTGATCTAACGGTCTGATGAAGCTGGTCCATGGATCGATCTCTGAGGCGGCGTGGGGCCCGCTACAGTAAGGTGGGGTGATTGGGACGGATGGGAACATTTCCTTGGGGGGGTTCCAGGAGTAGACTGCTCATCTACATGTTTTGTTCCCTCTATTGAGGGCGTTAGGGGCTGGGGGGTAGTCCTCCTTAATGATTTCTCCGATTAGCGGGACTCGGCTTCCCGTTCTTGTTACGGTCGTCTGCAAGTGGGAGGGTGCTTTGGTGGAGTTGAGTGAGCGTTGGAACGGACTTCCTTCAGGTTTCGCTGATGGCTGTTGTCTTTGGGAAGGGTAAGTCGGTTGCGGTTGGCCGATTCCTCAATAGAATCTGTCCAATTTCGTTGGGGGTTTCACTTGGGGCTCGACTTCCCGGGTGAGGATGGTGGGGAGTTCAGGTAGCATTCATTCCGGTTAGGGGCGGCCACAGACACCGCCAGGCTTGGCGTGCCTGCGCCAATAGTTCAAAGGCGCGAATGGTGGGAGTCAGGGTGGCAGGTTCCTTAGGTTCACCCTGCTGGTCTCCGGAGTTGTTTTCGCTCCACAGTTATGGTCCCCTCCCCGGAATAGGGACGGTGTGGGCCAGGAGGCAGGGGCGAGTGGTTGGGTCTTACGCCTTCTTGAGCGAAGGTTCGGTGGTCTGGCACCAGATATATGAGGGGGGTGTGGCTCCTCCCCGTCCTGAGTCAGCTGTCCTGCCTCCTGGGGGTACCGGGTTTTTTTTGTCATCCATCTGGCTGGATTGACCTGGGTTCGGTGATTGTTTGGGGTTTGGGTTGATCTTAAATCTGGACATGTTACGCATTCTGTTTTCTTCCCAGAGGTTCTCAGGGGCTGGGCTGAGGCTATCGCCCGTTCCGGTTGGCAGTGCGGTCAGCAATGTGAGTGCCCTGGTGCGCTGCCGTCGGAAATTGGGTGAGATGGGTTTCTAAGTTTGTCTTGGAGGTTGGGGGATTCCAATTTGCCTTAGGGCTTTGAGCGGGACGTGGCCTGGTTATCTCGAGGGGATGGGTGCGCTTGATGGAGGTCGGACTAGGCCTATATTAATCTAGCGCTGCAGGAAGTGGTGGAACAGGCTATAGCGGGTTGTGGTGGGGTCCCCCGCTGATTTTAGGCATAAAACAGCGGGGTTGTGGCGGGGGTATGTCCTTGCCAATTCAGTTTGAGGGGTTACGTTTAAGTATATGGAATGAGATGAACAAGTTTTTAAGGTCTCAACCTCCCCTGCTTCAATGGGTTAACCTTAGGTTACCTGGGATGTCGTGCCCATTGAGCATGGATAAGGTCGCTGATGGCAGGCATTGGAAGGAAATGGGGAGGTGAGAGGAAGTCGCGCATAGGCGCATGGTCAGTTTATTGGCAAGGACGCTTGGGTTCGCTGTATGACACTATGTGTTAAGTTATATGCATACATATGTTAATTTATGGTTATTCATGTTTAATGTTTGGTTACAGAAATGAAGAGAAATGTATTAAATAAATTATGGAGGTGTCATACAGTATTTGTCGTATGGTATAATAAATGCTGTGGCCTGTTTCATCCATACTTCGTTGTCTGTCTTTAATTTGGAAGGGGGAGGATTTGGGTTGGTTTATGTATTATGCTGCATTGCAATTCCCCACTACGTACATACAGCGAGCTACACTAAGATTGTTAGAGAGGCATTTAGCAGACAAACTTCAGCATGCTGGATAAGTGGGTGTTATATATGTCTTTTAAATTCAATCTGCACTGGCTGCTGTGAGATGACTAATTATTGTGATTTTTTTTCTTTTGGGAACACCAGTACTGGGTTTTTATCTAGAAAGAGCAATATCTTAATGTGCTTGCTTGCCTTACCTTATTAGCGATTAGGAGCATATTTATTGTGTTTTTTCCATTGGTAGCAATATTATACTACTATGCTCGTAGCACCATTTAGACCACATTACACCTTTTGTCTAGGATTTATCAGTAAAAAATATATACATTTTTAAGATTTTTATCAAGTGACACAATATAGGCTACAGATAATAAACAAAAGTATTTACCGCAATTCACAAGCAGAATCGGGCAACCCCGTGGAGTTTGTTTGTTTGATTCGTGTTCCTGCCCGATTCGGCTTGTGAATTGCGGTAAATACTTTTGTTTACTATCTGTAGCCTATATTGTGTCACTGATTGTTGTAACAGCAATGTATACTTATTATTGAATTAATAAATCTAGATAGCGATTTCTTAAGGTTTTTTTGTGTGCATTCATTTATTACTTAACTATTATTTTTTTGGTATTTGGGGGAGTACCAGTATTGGATAGCACCCTAAGGTCTGTTTACTTTCTATGTTTGTATTATTGAATGTTCTCTCCATACTTTGTACATTATAAGATTTTTATCAATAAATGTTTTAAGTAATATCTGTAAAGTTTCCACTTTTTTCGTCTCACCAGTAATCTAAGGGACACCCTATAATTTAAGGGACACTATGTTTTTTGTTGTGTGAGGTTTCTAAACAGAACGCTGACTATCAATGAAACAGCCAGGGAGGTTCCTTTCTGCTTCTGTAAGCTCTACGGAGCCAACGGAAGTGGTAGACTTGAGCCCCCTCGCATACATCCTTCTCAGATAAGAATGCTGTGCATACCGTGCATGCACGAGCAAACACATGCACGGAGAGAACGATTCAGAGGCTATTTCTTTCTGAACAGTCTGTGAGTCTCTTCTGAACAAACAGGAGATAACTTGCAAAGGCTGCAAGTATCAATTGGGATTAGTGATGTCCCGAACTGTTCCCCGAACGGCTCGCCACGAACGGTTTGCCGTGGACTCATCATTGAATAAACTTTGACCCTGTACCTCACAGTCAGCAGACACATTCCAGCCAATCAGCAGCAGACCCTCCCTCCCAGACCCTCCCACCTCCTGGACAGCATCCATTTTACATCTATTGTGAAGCTGCATTCTTAGTGAGCTGTCCAGGAGGTGGGAGGGTCTGGGAGGGAGGGTCTGCTGCTGATTGGCTGGAATGTGTCTGCTGACTGTGAGGTACAGGGTCAAAGTTTACTCAATGATGCGTCCGCGGCGAACTGTTCGTGGCGAACCGTTCGCGAACCGTTCGGGACATCACTAATTGGGATATATCTACTAAATATGGATTTTTTTTTTGCCCCTCTGACAGTGCAAGGATTAATCTTGTAGCTACTGGCCAGCGCTTACTAGTCAGCCTCTGCAGTAAAAATCATATACAAATTACAAAAAATCCTAGTATAAGAGAGTTTTAACACCATCCTTCTGACCCCAAGCACCCTGCCATGGATGGGGGCATGCATAACTGCAAAACAGTGAGCAGCCAGTGGCTGTGTAGTTTAATTACATTTAGTGACTAGGCAGCGATTGGCTGGTACCTATAAAATACGTGACGATGCTGGCATACTAACTTCGAAGGACTTTCTTTACCTCATTGTACTTAAGGCTGTCTTTTCAGGGGTTGGTCTATTCTCTATTCCAGTTCCTCAACAACTAATCTGCTATGGCCAAAATCTCATAAGCACAAAATAATGTGCAACTTTGTCCTTGTAGCTCTATGAAATCACATTTATGCAATACTATGCCACCAGCAGCCTATTTTATTATCTGCTCAGTAATTGAACTTGTTGGATCCACGTTTTCTCTCTTATTAACAATATTCTCTAATTTGTTCCAAAGTCATCTACATCACTGGGTGATTTTGCTTAACCCCTTAAGGACACAACTTATGAAATAAAAGGAAATCATGATGGAATATTTCTGTCATGTGTAATTAAGGGGTTAATAGGGAACCATCACCTCTCTGTAAATGACACCACTCCAAAATAATAATCCTTGAAAATCTTTTTTTATCATGTGATGTTCTGTTTTCTTTTACATTTCTATTAAATATTAATTACATCACAATCCAGTTCAGTCCCCGTACAGTTAAAAAAAAAAGTAAATCATTTTAAACATGGAATTTTGATAATTTAAGATGAAGAAATTCCAACATATTTTTCCATACTGTGTTTACACTATATTTAGAAATTGAGACCACTCCATGTATAGTAGAGGTGCCAGGTTTGTATTATAATAACTAGTATATGAATTTAGTAGACTAACAACTGGGCACAAGTAACACTGCTCCACCTACTGGTGAGACTTGGATACAGTCCATACACTCATGTTATTTTGACACAATCAATATGATGTGATCAGTAGCAACTATCTTTAACTAGATTGACTACACTGCAAGGGTCCCTAGGACATGTCCTTACCTTAATAATATATTTGTTGGAGACAATCAAGGGTGTAAGTAGGATTCTCTGAGCCCTGGTGCAAGAATAAAAATAAATAAAATTAATTTTAAAAAAGGGCCCCCCCTTTTTTGCTCTCCTTGAAGGAATACATATAAGTGAGATGTGTATGGTGGCTGAGTGGGATTGCTGTGTTTTGGTTACGTGTGATTTGTATGTGTGGAGGTGGCTTAGTGTGATTGTGTGGAGTTATATGAGTGTGATTGTTTATGTTATTACCCCCCTCATGTTTATTTTTCTGCAGGGAGGGGGGTATGATCCCTGATAGTTCCATGGTGATGTTGGTTGTATTCCTGGTGGTCCATTGGGGGAGCGAGTGGTCTGCTTCTCTGGAGGGTGCAGACCACATATATGCTCTTCTGCTCCAGTGCTCAGTGAATGAGTCAGAGCACTGCGATGGTAATCCAGTAGCAGTGCTTGGACTTATTCACTGAGCACCAGAACTGCGAGGGAGTACTTACAGTGTTCCATGCAGTAATTTATTTGTTTAAATTATATTGCCAAATGGGCATTAGACTAAGTAATATGTTGTTTACACTTTTTAACAATGTCCAAAACTTGTAGAGCAGGTCTGAAAGAGCCTGGATTTGGTCTAGATTTTAGTCCGACCTAAAGCTGCCATAATTATGAAATCTGGACACGGAAGCTTAAAAGCTGTGCCTGGCTTTAAATAAACCCAAACTATTTGTTTATGTGTGAGGGCTTGTTGGGGAGAATCAACCCCCGGTATATATAGTAAATATATAGCCTCCACCAGCCAACAAATCTGGGGGACTTGGGGTAACACTATGTCTCCCATGTTTGTTTTAATACGTATACCCCACCTGTTGAACACAGGTGTTCTGTCCACATCCCCATTATTTCATTTAATGAGCCAACCCAATGTCCACAGGTGGGTGCAAGGAGGGCACACGCTCCAGGTTCCAGGCTGCATTATGTCAATTCTGTGCATATTTCAGTGCTTCTCCCTTGATGGCAGAGGCTGCAAGGGCAAACTCGTGTCTCCTTCCTTAATTGCAGCCCTCCCTCATTCCTATCCCATCTGATAGTTTCTTTCCCCATGCCCTCTCTCCCCTTCTCCTTCATTCAATATCCCCTTCCCTCACAGATTCAGAGTTCACCCCTATGCTCTGAGTTGATTAAATTGTCCAATCAAATGCTTCTCTATGAGAACTCTTTGATTGGACCTCTCCACGACTCCTGTGACTTCAGGTGTGGGTGTGCCGAGCAGCATCAAGAGCTTCACCCAACACTGGATTTAGGTAAGTTAAACTTATTTTAAATTTATTTATAGCATCTTTTGGAGGTGAACATAAAGCATAATGTCTAATATCGCATTATTCAAAGGAAAAAATAAATAAAAATAAGCTTGGGGAAACCTTTTAATTAGTGTTCTCGTTGGTCCCACTTTTAAATGTTCAAAAATTGAAGGCACCTGACTGTATGTCTATATTGTACTTATTGTTATTTCATGTGCCAAGTCACAAAGAATAAAAAAAACAACTGAACAAAAATAAACACATCTATTGGCCCATCCCATCTATCCATTTTTAGCTACAAGCACATGCTCTATTGATAACGCTGGGAGAGATTTATCAAAGGGATGCCAACACTTTTATGTGTAGCTTTTTATTTTAATTTATTAAATCTTTTTTTTTTTATCTGTAGCTTCTTTTGTACCCTAACCAGCATTTTTAAATGTCTTTTGATGACAAAACCAATTTAGCCATTTTGTTTTCTGACAGCAAAATGATGTTTTACTCGATTTTTTTTCTGCCACTTTAATGGAGATATTATTTATCAAGGTGTTCTGAAAAAGTGCTAGTTAAAATTCTCATTATTTTGTTCGGATGTATTAAAGTGTTCTAAAAGTGAACTAAAAAGTGCTGATTCTCTTTGTAGTAAATTCCACCACATTTTACAGAAATATCCATTGCAAATAAATGCCATTTACAGTGGAGGAAACAGAGATAAATATGATGAAAATATTGACAGAACTTAACTGTCACTTTTCAGAACACAGTGATAAGTATCCCCCATTGTATCTTGCTGAAACAGCAGTGCCTTCATTTAAATCCTTGATAATTCTTCCACAATATTAGCGTATACCATCTCTGCTGGAAGGCAAACCCTTGCATCCACAACTAACTCCTCCAGAAAATTATTTCCTGGATAACATCACACTTGTATTCTGTAAGAAAACCTTGTCTGCTCCATGATATAAATGTTTAGGTTAAATGCTTATGTTATGCATAATTAGTCATTGCTGACAGCAAACAGGCAAAGTCCAACTATCATTCGGAGAACTGGAAACCAAGGTAACAGGATAACAAATTCTGAGAACTAGCATAATTGTTACAGCACATGATGAAAGGCAGGCCCTTCATAACAAATGACACACAGTATTGTCATGATCTAAATGGAATCTGCTTAATCTCTTTACCGTGAAGCGTAAAAGCCAATGAACAGGCATGACCTGCAGCCGGAGACCAGCAGTGAGCACTTCATCAGTATGTGTAGCCATCTTTACTTTATTACCTCATGTGTGGGAAGGTAGTAACAGTCAGGTAGGTGCCTGACACTTACCCACTATTTTTTCCTTCACCCAAATGCCCTGGAATATAAATTGTAAGTATAATGGACATGGTATTCCCAAGAGCCCTAAAATGAACATATTATTATTTATACAGCGCCAACAAATTCCGCAGTGCTGTACAATGGGATGGGTGGACTAACAGACAAGTTTTTGCAACAAGACAAGTTGAATGCACAGGAACAGAGGGTGACATTCTAGAGGGAGTGGGTAAAGTTACACAAGAGGTAAGGGTAGGATATATTTAATGTATAGGAAATGTTTTCCAAGGTCTGCGGGGTGAGGGGGGAGAACACAAATAATGTTTGAAAAACTAGTGCTGCCCAAATTATGAGGCACACACCAATTGCCAATCCACTGAATGGGTAAAAATGTTGATGGAACCTAATAAAAGCATCATGCTGATAAACATCATCCCAAATTTTTTAAGTTTGACTATTTTGGTTTTGGATTAAAATATTAAATTACCTTGAATATACTGGAGTACCTGCCATGGTCGGAGGGGTCAGAGCTGCGACCTGGCCCCTCACTCCAGGGTGCCCAGCCGCAGCCGCAACCCCTGCCACCGTTGGCCGCCTAGATACTTTATGGGCCGGTGCACAGCCGCACTGGACCGGGTCTGCGGTTCCTGGAGGTCTGGCAGGAAGAGAGAGCTGAACTGTGCTGCTACCCTCCTGGCTGTGTGTAGCAACGCCGAGCGGTCTGATTGGAAATGCTCACTGTTAGGGCACTTCCTGTCCTGTCAGACCAGGAACCGTGGCCAGTTAGGTACAGGAGAAGAGGGGGGAGAGAGAGAGGGTATGGGATACAGGGAGGGGAGGTGGGAGAAGGGTATGGGATACAGGGAGGGGAGATGAGGGTATGGGACACCTGGAGGGAAGGGGAGAGTGGGAGAAATGGTACACAGGGAGGGGAGGGGGGAAAGAAAGAACAATGGGACACATGGAGGGAAGGGGGAGGGAGAGAGGGTATGGCATACATGGAAGGGAAGGGAAGAGAGGGAGGGTAGAAGGAGAAGGAGAAATAGGACACATGGAGGGGCTGGGAGGGAGGAGGGTATGAGAAACATGGAGGGGCTAAGGGGAGAGGGAATTTGTCACATAAAGGGGCTGGAGGAGGAGCCTATGGGACACATGGAGGGGCTGTGGGGCAGAGGGAATGAGGCACATGGTGGGGCATGGGAATGAGACACCAAGGGCAGGGATAAGACACATGGGCAATTTTCGCACCTAGGCCCAGTGGGTTCTAGTTACGCCTCTGCTTGAATACTAGAAAATTCACACTTTTTTGAATAACTTACAGGGTTACTTACTAAAGTAATGATGGGAATTCAAGGTATTGGAACTGGAAGCACAGGTGACTTGTATGATTTTTCCATGTCAGCTATTTTGGTCTTTAATTTGAGATTCACTTTTAATTCACTTTGAATTCTCGACAGGCAGAGATAGGCGACTGATGACATCAGGGAAGATAAAGTTCACAACATCGGGAGTGCCTGATCTAAGGGCATTTCCCTATCCTGAGTAGCCATGTGACCGGTCACTGGGAAAGGAAATGTATCCACACTTATTTTTCCCAGTTTTGTACCTTTCTGGATTTTTCTGAAAAATATCTAAAGAAACATTTAGTGTATTTATAAGTAGTGGTCGTGTCTTGGTGGCAAATACCCATTTTACAGATAACCATTATTTAGAAGTAAAAGGTCAATGTGAATCCATAACCTTTCATTCATAAAATCAAATTGGATTTGTAAGTGACTTGCATTAGCCATAGCCATATACATAGTGAGTCATTCCTAATTATTGGTATTTCAAATTCCACCCAGCTCTAGTCTATTTACATTACTATTTAAAAAACAGGAGCAGGTCATTCACTTCTTTACTAACAGCAACAACATTATTGCAACATTTACAACGAATCGAAAACTGTTTATGTTTTAATTAATTATATATTTTAGGGTTTTTTTCTGTTAAACTGCTTTGGCACAGACTAAAATTCTATGACAATTAAGCAAAGTTAAGTTATTTGAGCTGAACTCATGACTACAGGCAAATTTACTCGTAATCATTGTACAATTAACTCCCAGTATATATCTACACAGTGGAATTAATCAGTTGCCCTTGCTTGTCTGAATTTACCCACTGCACCAGTAAAGAAAACGATGAAGGTATGGTCCTTGGGTAAGCAGGAGTGGCCAAAAGGTAGATCTTACTCTTCACCTCCCTTCCATGATGCTTTGTCAGCTGTGGACATGTTAAAATGTAACAGACTTGTCTTGGCACAGCATCAGCATATAGAAGTCAGATCAGGGCATGCATGATGCTAAGTGATTAAAACATTCTGATTGAAACACTGCACATACAGAGATATTTAAACTTTTGTGCCAAAAATTATTTACACCCACTCTCTTGCCGCTTGTTTAAGTCCATATATTTCTGTCTGTAGCTTGCGTACTAGATCTTAATTTGTTTCAAAGCAGTCAAGTTCCATCATAGAATGTTCTCCATCTATTACATCTAGATTAGATCCACATGAAACTGTTTAGATGCTGTAATAGTTAGTAATATTATAATGGTGCTGACCTTGACTAGAGGTGCAAAGATCGTGTCATAGTCTTCTCCATACTTCTGACTAAATCCTTTTGCTACTAGTCTTGCTTTGCAATGGATTACATTTCCATCAGCATCCAGTTATTTTGCTTGAATACGCACTTGCAACCAATGTTTTTTTTTTTTACCTTTAGTTAATTCAGTCAGATTCCATGTTTTGTTTTTGTTTAAGAATCAATTTACTCTTTTGCTGTTTACAGCTCCTGTAAATTAGTTTGCCCTTCTCCGCATTGTTTGGAGGACCATTAGACACTCAGAGAACTTACTTCAACTCAACTAAGCGGTCTGGGTCTAATGGTGATTTAGTTTTAAAACTGTAATGTAAAATATTACCGCTTGGTAGATATGGTAACATTACATTGCATGGTTAACTATTACCTGACAGCAACTAGAGGTACATCCACTCTGAGAACCAAGCCTAACTCTGTTCTCACAGCTAACATCCAATAGGCATTGCACATTCAGTCCCAATTTGGACTATTAGAGGCATTGGCACGACGTTGAATGAGGCAGAGCGACCAGCAGCAGAGTCTCGATTTTGGCTCTGAAAAAAAAGGGTAAGTTAAAGGAACACTAAAGGGTCAGAAACACAAACATGTATTCCTGACCCTATATTGTTAAATCCACCATCTAGCCATCATGCCTCCATAAATATAGCAAACTATTACTATATTCAAGCCTGAAGCTGTAGATCTGCATACTGTTTGCCTCAGAAAAACAAGCAGTCTGCTGACATCATCAGAAGTGGTAGCCTGATCCAATTACAGTGCTTCACCATAGGATTGGCTGAGAGTGACAGAGCCCTGGCCAATCAGCACAACCCTGGCCAATCAGCATCTCCTCATAGAGATGAATTGAATCAATGAATCTCTATGAGGAAAGTTCAGTGTCTGCATGCAGAGGGAGGAGATACTGAATGTTTGGATGCATTTTAGGCAGCCATGAACCAGGAAGGATCTCTAGCAGCCATCTGAGGAGTCGCCAGTGAAGTTATCACTAGGCTGTAATGTAAACACTGCATTTTCTCTGAAAAGATAGTGTTTACAGCAAAAAGCCTGAAGGTAATGATTCTACTCACCAGAACAAATTCAATAAGCTGTAGTTTTTCTGGTGACTATTTTTTTTCAATTTTTATTTAGATTTAGGGGACCCTGAATATAAATAAAGAGGAGAACACTATAGAGTTAGGAATATATGTTTGTATAATTATAATGTTATAATGTCCATTTAATATCAAAATCACTTGTTGCTTGTTCCCCTTCTTTAAAACAAACAACACTTCTCACTTTTACTTTCCTGGATTCAGGATTCTTCAGCCTTTAGCTTTAAGCCCCGTTTCCCACGCCATCCCTACTGCAAGCCTCTACAATTGAACGCTACAGCCTTAAGGTACAAATTTGGAACTCCAAGATGCTCCACCGGATTTCTTTCACCTTTGCCACTAGATTACTTCTTTATAATAATGTTTTCATTGTTATAGTGTATTACTGTAGTATCTTGTACTTGCAGCTACATGCATTAATTAATCTGGCTGTTAGGATTTGATTGGCAAAATTCTAAATTGTAAATCACAACTCTCTACTCCCTCCGCAGTCCCATTTCACATTACATCTTTACTGCAAGCCTCTACAATTCTACTCTGCTCAGCCCACCCAGGTTCCCCCTAAATTTATAGCATGCTCCTCCAGCTGTTTAAAATTCTCACTCACTTACCTCTTCATTCCCTCTATATTCTAACAATATCTGCAACTCTCTGTTTCCTTATTTAGCCATCACTTCCAAATTTCCCCTGCTACCTCTTGTCTCAAATCCCCACGGTATCCTTTAGATTGTAAGCTCACGGGCTATCTACCCATGCACTTCGTGTAAAAGAGCTTAATACGTCCAGCGTCGTTTAGACGACCAAAAGTCATCTAAAAAGTCGGAAGTACCTCTAGTGGCTGTCTTGTAGACAGCCACTTGAGGAGGACTTAACCCTGTAAGGTAATTATTGCAGTTTATAAACACTGCAATAATTACACTTGCAGGTTAAGGGAGATGGGAGTTGGCACCCAGACCAGTTCAATGGGCTGAAGTGGATTGGGTGCCTACAATGTCCCTTCAATGCTCTATGAGATACGACATATAATTTTGGAATAATTATCTATAAATGTTAGTGTATACAGTGCCTTGCAAAAGTATTCACCCCCTTGACTTTTTACCTATTTTGTTACATTACAGCCTTAAGTTCAATGTTTTGTTAATCTGAATTTTATGTGATGGATCAGAACACAATAGTCTAAGTTGGTGAAGTGAAATGAGAAAAATATATACATAAAACAATTTTTTTGAAATAGAAAACAGAAAATTGGCATGTGCGTATGTATTCACCCCCTTTGTTTTGAAGCCCATAAAAAGCTCTGGTGCAACCAATTACCTTCAGAAGTCACATATTTAGTGAAATGATGTCCACCTGTGTGCAATCTAAGTATCACATGATCTGTCATTAAATTTACACACAGAGGCTGCAACACCTAAGCAAGAGGCACCACTAACCAAACACTGCCATGAAGACCAAGGAACTCTCCAAACAAGTAAGGGACAAAGTACAAGTTAGGGTTAGGTTATAAAAAATTATCCAAATCTTTGATGATCCCCAGGAGCACCATCAAATCTATCATAACCAAATGGAAAGAACATGGCACAACAGCAAACCTGCCAAGAGACGGCCGCCCACCAAAACTCAAGGAGGGCATTAATCAGAGAGGCAGCACAGATACCTAAGGTAACCCTGGAGGAGCTGCAGAGTTCCACAGCAGAGACTGGAGTATCTGTACATAGGACGACAATAAGCCGTACGCTCCATAGAGTTGGGCTTTATGGCAGAGTGGCCAGAAGAAAGCCATTACTTTCAACAGAAAACAAAATGGCAAATTTTGAGTTTGCAGAAAGGCATGTGGGAGACTCTCAAAATGTATGGAGGAAGGTGCTCTTGTCTGATGAGACTAAAATTTAACTTTTCAGCCATCAAAGAAAATGCTATGTCTGGCGCAAACCCAACACATCGCATAACCCAAAGAACACCATCCCCACAGTGAAACATGGTGGTGGCAGCATCATGCTGTGGGGATGTTTTTCAGCACCCGGGACTGAGATTCTGGTCCGAGTTGAGGGAAAGATGGATGGTGCTAAATACAGGAATATTCTGTGCGTGATTTGAGGCTAGGATGGAGGTTCACCTTCCAGCAGGACAATGACCCCAAACACTTGAGTGGTTTAAGGGGAAACATGTAAATGTGTTGAAATGGCCTAGTCAAAGCCCAAACTTCAATCCAATAGAAAATCTGTGGTCAGACTTAAAGATTGCTGTTCACCACAACAACGACTTCCCCCCGGGACTGGACCCAAGAGCCCTGAAAGACATCCTCCCGGACACATCCCCATGCTTACACCATGCCCTACAGGGAGGGAAATGCAAAAAACTGACAGACATGATGGGAGAGATACCCCCAACCTTTATGCACCACTTTAGATATACCCAACTAATCAACTACATCCACACACTACCACAGGGACCAGCACTCACCAGAGAACACACCACACTGGAAGTGGTCTGCATGTACCCAGACCCGCTCCCACATGGAGTGTCCTTCCTATACTCCATGCTACAAACGGGCATCCCAACCGAGACACCCCTATTAATGGGGAAATGGGAGGCTGCCCTCGGATACACACTAACAGACACGGAGTGGGAGTCCATTTGCTACCTCACACACCACTGCTCTACACATAGCAAAACGCAAGAGACAGCCTACAAGCTACTAACACACTGGTACAGGACACCACACCTCCTCCTCCAAATAGACTCAGACCAATCCGGCCTATGCTGGAGATGCGAACAAGAGGAAGGCAGTATAAAACACATCTGGTGGGACTGCACAAAGATCAAACCATATTGGCGGAATATACACAAAATGCTAGAGAAATTTACGGATGAGCCACCCCCATGGAACCGGCAGCAATGCTCCTACACCACACTTCTGTTCCCCACTCTAAATACAAAAGGTCTATGACCATTTGAATACTTAATGTAGCCAAACGAGTGCTTCCCCAATTCTGGAAACAGAACATAACACCCCCGCTTAAGACCTGGTTCAGCCAAATGGAGGAACTCAGGACATCAGAGGAACTGACCATGACGACCCATACTACCCCAACGACCTACATGGACATATGGACATATTGGATCCTAGAGACGGCGAAGGAAGGATTCCAAATGGAACTCAGATCTGACGAACGCCACACCACAGACAGATAGGACTTAGAATACACACACTGGACGACAGACGATGACAGACGACTGACTATCCTAACACCCCCACTCCCGACTTTCCTCCCCCCTCCTAATGACCCACGCGAGACAACAACCCCAACCCAAACAGATACACCTACCGATAGAGGAGACACCTGAGCCCTGAACAAAAAACTCACATGGATCCATATATACCTCCCGACCTACAGGGGACACAACCCCCGTGGCACACATAACGAGCAGGCATGATAACCATCGGACAGCCCGAGGGCAACACCAAAATACACTAAAACGCCCTCCCGAAACTATGGAACACAAAACCCACAACACAGACGCACCCCTACCCACACGCACGACACTCAGGACATTAAGAGGACAGACACACGAATCCACTCAGGACACACTACACAACCCAAGATGTAGGGACCTGCATGTCGCCTAACAATAGAGGTTGGATAAGAGGCCTGCGAGCCTCAGCACATACTGAACACGAACCACAACTGGCATACACGAAACTAATAAACTATATGAACACGGCTTACTCAATAGGCCAATTTGCAGATGGAAACTGTAAACGAGGTTTATTCCCATTGAGACATAGACATGTATTAAATGAGATGCGTGAAACTTGATAGTAGGGACTTGCAAGTCCGTCAACATTGTGGGCCTGCGAGCCCAACCAGAAATCTGTGTTTTCTTATCTTATGATAACTCACCTTGGAGACCTGCGAGTCTCAAAGTCTTGAATAATCTATATAAATAAAAATTGTATTCACCAAAAAAGATTGCTGTTCACAAGCAAAAACCATCCAACTTGAAGGAGCTGGAGCAGTTTTGAAAGGAGGAAGGGCAAACATCCCAGTGGTAAGATGTGGCAAGCTCATAGAGACTTATCCAAAGCGACTTGGAGCTGTGATTGCCGCAAAAGGTGGCTCTACAAAGTATTGACTTTAGGGGGGTGAATAGTTATGCACATTGACTTTTTCTGTTAGTTTGTCCTATTTGTTGTTAGCTTCACAAATGTAATAAAAAAAAAATCTTCAAAGTTGTGGCATGTTCTCTAATTTAAATGATGCAAATCCTCAAACAAACTATGTTAATTCCAGGTTGTGGGCAACAAAAAACGTAAAATGCTAAGGGGGGTGAATATTTTTGCCAGGCACTGTACTTATTATGACCACGAGACACTCCTATATCAGAGTGAATGTATTGCTGAGGCTTTACTGAGTTTCTGTGTTTGGGGGCTTTGTACCTTTACCTGTCAGAAAAAGTTCATATTCTTCTCTGTTGTGATCCTTTTGACAAGCTTTTATTTTTATTATTATGTCTCATACCAAACCTTCTGTAGATCAGAAATTGCATCGACGTCTCTGTGACAATTTCTTTTATGCTACAGATAGATACAGTTTGAGAAATGTTCAGCTTTTTATTCTTGTGTGTTAAAAACAAATTAACCATTACTGTTAAAATATTGTGCATACAAAAGATCAGATTTTGCTCAATTTTATTGCAATTGAAGTTCATATTGAATCCATGCTCGGTTAATGCTGAAACGATAAGCAAATTGCTTGTGAGTTCAGGTAAGTAAATTACACTCTGCACTTTGTTGTTTAATGTCTCTGCTTTTGCACATTTAAACAAGAATCTGTCTCCTTATTTGTGTGCTGATAAGCCGATTTGTTTTCTCTGCTCTGTTTACTGACTCTTTAACACATACTATATTTTACACATAGATTCTGTCCAATTTCTAGTGCATTAATTTATGAATTGTAGCTTTCTTGAAGAGTTGATACAATAAGAATCCCTACAGCGCAAAACACAACTCTACATCCCCAAGATCAAGGACACGGCCCAACGGACACTCCACCTCCCAGACCATTCCTGACACATTCCTCCGCTACTATGGAGACCTTTACAACATACAACAAGGGACACGAGACGCTGAGACGAACAGCAGGACCGAAGCCATACACACGTACCTGGCTGCGTCCGGACTAACTCAAATAACAGAACCGGACCGCACAGAGCTGGACGCCCCCATAACACCGGATGAGCTGACACTGGCTATCCGAAGAGCAAAAACAGGTAGATTGCCAGGACCAGATGGCCTGCATCTGCTCTACTATAAGACATTTCTACCAGACCTTCTCCCGAAACTACACGCGGCCCTGAACTCCATCATGGACGGGGCTCTCCCCTCAGCTCAATTTACGGCCACAAACATTACGCTTCTCCCAAAGGAAGGCAAAGACCCGACAGCTTGCCAAAGCTACCGCCCGATCTCGGTCCTCAACGTGGGCGTCAAACTTTTAGCCAGCGTTCTGGCCAACCGCCCTGCTACATTACTCCCAGGACTGATCCACCCCGATCAGACAGGGTTCATCCCGGGTAGAGAGGTCCGGGACAACACCATCCGAGCACTGAACCTCATCACCGCAGCCACGCACTCCAACCGCCCAATGCTGCTCCTATCAACGGATGCTGAAAAGGCCTTCGACCGAGTGGACTGGGGCTTCATGTTCACAACACTCAGAAACCTGGGCATAGGCCCCAAATTCATCAAATGGGTAGAGGCACTGTACGCCTGCCCGACAGCAAGACTGAGGCTCAACCGAGCACTGACTGACCCGTTCCAATTCCACAACGGAACGCACCAGGGGTGCCCCTTATCACCCCTGTTATTTGCACTAACATTGGAACCCTTCCTCAACAACATCAGAAGAAACGAGGTGATAAATGGGCTAACACTCGGCCAGACACACCACGAAGTCCTGGCCTACGCGGACGATCTCCTCTTTGTGGTACAAGACCCGGCCACATCCTTACGGGAAATCATGGCAGAATTTGAGACATACGGCCTCTTGACAAACCTAAAGATCAACTACACAAAATCGTGAATCCTGGACCTAGCAATTGGAGGGACACAAAGACAGCCGCTCCGACTTAGCTTCCCGTTCCACTGGAACACGACCCGACTGCGCTACATGGGTGTCTGGCTCACGCTGAACCCGGCAGACCTATATGCGCACAACTTTGCCCCTCTTCTCAAGACCACACAGGAGGAACTACACATCTAGAGCTCACGCTACCTCTCCTGACTGGAGAGCATAAACGCGGTTAAAATGACCCTGCTCCCCAAAATTCTCTTCATCTTCCAAACCATCCCAATCCTGGTACCAAAGAGCTTCTTCACCACTATCCATGCGGCAGTCCGTGAGTTCGTGTGGAAGGGTAAATCCCCCCCGCATAGCCCACTCCCAACTAACACCCAAGGGGGCTTGACCCTCCCGGACTTTAGGAAGTACTACTTAGCAGCCCACCTCATGCGAATAATCAGCTGGTCGGTGACTGCACAAGACAAACCCTGGGTACAAACGGAAGCAGACAGCACCAACTGTAAACTTGCAGCCCTACCGTGGATCACGAGGGAGGCGAGAAAGTGCATACACCTCACCAAACCATTCGTGAAAGCCACCCTCCATCTCTGGCACCAGAGCGGCCCCAAATTGTACCTTAAAACAGACCCCAGCCCCCTGCTCCCCCTAAGGGGAAATCCAGACTTCCCGGCCAGAGAAATAAAACCCCTCTCAAGCAACACACTGCCCCAAATGGCGGATGTATTAACAACCCCATTCACCACCAGACCGACGACCGCCCTCTTCCCAGAACAACGCATCACATTCATGCACACCATGGCGAGGGAACAAATATCCCACTACGCACGCTCGATTCCCCAACGCCCCAGCCTACTTCACGACTGCACAGAATTCAAATCCATCTGCACACAGGACACTGCACCACCCAAGGAACTATCCTTGACATACGCCTCACTAACCACAGGATGCTACCTTCTAGCACCGCCATGCATCAGATGGTGGGAAGAGGATCTGGACGAAGCACTCTCAGACGCCGAATGGGATAAGATCATCATGCATGCCCCAAAAACTCCAGGGTCTGCAAGGCTTCAGGAAAATTCATACAAGGTCTTCACAAGATGGTACATTACTCCCGCCACACTACACACCAGAGACAACACAGTCCCAGACATGTGCTGGTGCTGCGGAGAGGAGAGGGGTACCTTTCTCCACCCTTATCCGAACGTTCTGGGCTAAGATCGCCCAGATGATCCGGGAAGTAACAGACGAAGAAATGTCACAGACACCAGCTCCCTACCTCCTTCACCACACAACAATGCCCACACCAGCGTACAAACGATCAGTGATTCCTAGACTCCTCAACGTGGCGAAAGCCATCATCCCCATCTACTGGAGACAACCATGCTCCCCGCCAATCAAGAGGTGGGTGGAGGAGGTGGAAGATACAAGGAGCTGAGACTCATCTCCTCTAACGACTTCGTGCAACGCCTATCCACTACCTGAACAACCAGAGGATAACCTAACAGAGACCGAGCAGATACCACCAGTCGACCCCTGGGGCGGGAGGAACCGGGGCGGCGAACGGGGACGCTGATCGCAACCTTGTTTATTTGGCCCGTGCTTGACTTTGAGTTTGACATGCTTAGCTTAGAGCGTCATCTGACCACTCTAGCCAATCAGTGGCACCCATACCTGGTGGCAGTCTTCACTTCCCGAAACTCAGTTTCAGAAGCTAGATGCTGCATTGGAAAACTGCAGATTCTGAGCAAGAGGCAGCCTTTGGGGTTAAACCGTTTGAGAACGGTTTAACCCTTTTAGGTAAGAAAGAGCCCGGGAGCCTCCTGGGACAATAACAACTTAATTTAGATAAAGTTGTTATGGTGATCTGAGTGTTCCTTTAACTCTGACATTGGATTTAGATGTTTCTCCAGCTTAATATTCTGCAGTTATCTTGATAAATAACATTTTATTTAGACTCTCACTTCCATACCATTAGTCTAAGCCTTTCTGTAACTCACTGGCTGTTTTTTTGTGGTGAAATCACAGTTACTCACATATGTGGAGACCTCAACTTTCATTTTCCTGTCCTTTTTTTCCACTGAATTCTTCTTGCATTAGCCACTGGTGAGGACACTTCCACTGGTGACATTCCTTCTCACAAACTCATTCTGCATTGCGAACTTCCATGCCAAGTAATCAGTAGATTTGAGAATAGGTACAGCGACTCCCATAACATTCACAGCCCCAGTGTATGTGCCATCCTTGCAGCTTCTACTCTGGGCCCATTCCCAATTGTTGACATTTAGCTTTAGAGTTGTACTAGCACAGCAGCAGCATGTAGAAGTCAGAGCAGGGCACACAAATGGAGCTAGGCCAATGGTTTTCTTAAACATTCTGACTGAATAAAACAAGAAAAATATTTGTTACGGGAAAATAACATACATCCAGCACCATAGAGATGTTAGAGGAAAGACAGTAACATGGCAGCAGTAAATTCCCCTGCATATTCAGATTAGGCACAAGTAATTACTAACAGGATATATTAATATTATGTATTATCATTTACCCATTCATACAGGGTTGTATTTGTGTGCAGTGCTTGTTTGTGCATGGAAGTTTGTGTGTAGTGTTGTTGTTTGAATGCAGGGATGTGTTTGTGTGTAATGTTGGTGTTTGTATGCATGTGCCTATTCATTTACATATATGTTGTCAGAGTCACTTTATCCCACACAAACACTGCCACACTGACACTGACACCCAGGCAGTGGCGGATCCAGGGGGGGGGCAACGGGGCAATTGCCCCCCCCGAGAAATCCGCCGGTCTCCCTCTCCCCTGCCAGCAGCACATGCAGGTGCTAGCCTTGCAATGTGCCTGCGGACCGGAGGGGAGATCACAGATCTCCCTCCCCGGTCCGCAGGCACTGTGCTGGCGGCCGGCGGGGAAGGAGGGAGAGGGAGGAGAGAGGACCCGGAGCTCAGGCTGCAGCTCCTCCGGGTCCTCCTCTCGTGAGATTTGGAGCGTTGCCGCGGTTACCACGGCAACGCTTCAAATCTCGCGAGAGTGAACTCTAGCCCGGGAGCGCGGGCTAGAGTTCACTCTCCCCACTAGGACCACCAATTAATCGCCCACCGGACCACCAGGGAAATGTCCCCCCTCCCCCCAGTAAAGGTAAGAAGGGAGGGGGGACATAATGATTATTTATATTAAACTAAATTTAAAAAAAGTATTTTTAAAAAAAAGCCCCCCACCCTTATCACACACACACACTCTACACACATACACTGATCCCCATACTGCCCCCCCATACACACATTGCCCCCCACACTGCCCCCCATACACACATACTGCCCCCCCATACACACATTGCCACCCATACTGCCCACCCATACTGCCCCCCCATACACACATTGCCCTCCATACTTCATACACACATTGCCCCCCATACACCCAGCCCCCCATACTGTCCCCATACACCCATACTGTCCCCCATACACCCTGCTACTGCCCCCCACACACACTGCCCCCATACACACACACACACACACACACTGCCCCCCATACACACACTCCTGCCCCCCCATACACTGATCCCCATACGCCCCATACACCCATACTGCCCCATGCACACACACATTGCCCCCATACTGTCCCCCATACACCCATACTGCCCCATACACACACATTAAGCCATACACCCATACACCCATATGCCCCATACACACACACACCCCCATACACCCATACTGCCCCCATACACACACATTGCCCCTATACTGTCCCCCCATACACCCACACTGCCCCCCATACACACACTCTACACACATACACTACCCGATACACACACTGTCCCCCATACACACACGCTGCCCTGCCCCCATACACACGCTGCCCTGCCCCCATACACACGCTGCCCTGCCCCGATACACACACACTGCCCCCATACACTGCCGCCCCATACACACACATACACTGCAATACTCACACACATACTGTCCCACACATACGCTGCCGCCCTCACACACACACTGCGCACACACTGTCCCCCTCACACACACACACACACTGCACCACTCACACACACCACTGCTCCTATGCCCTACTACTGCCCCATTTCCCAGCAGACCTCAGGTAAGTTGTCAAACTGTTCTTAAACGGTTTGACTACTTACTCTGGGAGGGGGTCCCGGCACTATTGACACCATAACCACTACACTGAGCTGTAGTAGTTATTGTGTCTGGATTATTTCTTTAAATAATCTACAAGTGCCCCTCCCGAGATCAGGCTCTGGATCCGCCACTGCACCCAGGGCTGCCATCAGAAATTTTGGGGCCCCTGACACAGCTCAAGGTCTGGGCCCCCCGGTGCCTGCACCTGAGTACGCCCAAAGTGCTGCCCCCCCCCTGAGTCCGCCCACAGGGATGCAGTGTCTGTACTGATTCTGGTGTGTGTGTATAGTGGATGTAGAATGTGTGTAGTGGATGCAGAGTTCATGTGTTAAGTGGATGCAGTGTTTGTTTAACGGATGCAGTGTGTATAGTTGATGCAGATTGTACATTTGTGTAATGTATGAGGTGTATATTAGATGCAGAGTGTGTTTGTGTAGTGGATGTAGTGTGTGTTTATAGTGAATGCAGAGTGTGTTTGTGTAGTGGATGTAGTGTTTGTGTGTATTAAATGCGATGTGTATAGTGAATGCAGAGTGTGTGTTTGTGTAGTGGATGTAGTGTGTGTGTAGTGAATGCAGAGTGTGTGTTTGTGTAGGTACTGCAGAGTGTGTGTTTGTGTTAGGAAGTAGTGTGTGTGTAGTGACTCCAGAGTGTTTGTGTAAGGATGTAGTGTGTATTAGTATTAGTGACTGCAGAGTGTGTGTGTGTGTGTTTGTGTAGTGACTCCAGAGTGTGTGTTTGTGTAAGGATGTAGTGTGTGTAAATTTTAGTGAATATTGTGTGTATATGTTAGTGTATAGTTTGTATACATGTTAGTAAATAGTGTGTGTAAATGTTAGTGTATAGTGTGTGTAAATATTAGTGTATAGTGTGTGTAAATGTATGGGGCTGCAAAAGGTGGGGGGAAAAGCCTACAGTTTTTTTTTCCATCCATTAATTGTATTGTTTTATTCCCCCTCCTGTGGCCATGGAGGGGGGAGATCACATTGGCTGGAGCCGGAGGTCCTGAGGAATGGTGCAGCCCCCGCTACCTGTATTCTGCATGGGGCCCAGCACACTTGAAATATACTGCTCTGCTCTGTCAAAGTCTTGCGAGCCGTGCGGAGCGTTGCCATGGCAACACTCTGACGATCGCGTCGCTCTGGAGACTTCGACAGAGCAGAGCATCTGGACAGTATATTTCAAGTGTGCTGGGTCCCCTGCAGAATACTGGTAGCGCGGGGCCCGCAGTGCACACATATGTAGCGTTAATCACTATATATGTGTGCACATAGCTAATGTGGGCAGTGGCGTACACACAACCCATGGGGCCCTGGTGCGAAAACTGATCCGTGCCCCCCCGCGCGCGCGCTTACTCTGCGCGGGCTGGGGCCGTAACACATGACGGCGGGGACCTGGTCGCACCCCTGCGACTGCGGTATGTACGCCAGTGCATGCAGATACACTTAAAGGACCACAACAGACACCCAGATCACATCAGCTCAATGAAGTGGTCTGGGTGCCATGTCCCTCTAGTTTTAACCCTGCAGCTCAAAACATAGCAGTTTCAGAGAAACTGCTATGTTTCACTGAGGATTAATCCAGCCTCTAGTGGCTGTCTCATTGACAGCCACTAGAGGAGCTTCTGCGATTCTCACTGTGAAAATCACAGTGAGAAGACGCTGAACGTCCATAGGAAAGCATTTCCTATGGGCGGTTTGAATGCGCGCGCGGCTCTTGCCACGCATGCGCATTCAGAGCTGAGAGGCGGATCAGGGCGGAGAGATCCCCAGCGCCAAGGGAGTCCAGCACTGGAGAAAGGCAAGTGCTTAAGACACACACACACTCTCACGAACAGACGCATACACACTAGCTAACAGACATACACATTTACTGACTGACACACACTCAGTGACAGACATACACACACTCACTAACACACGCACACAAACTAACACACTCAGTAACAGACACACAGTACCACACTCACTGACACACTCACTGACACACACTCTCTCACACACACTCTCTAACAAACACACACACTCTAACACACACACACACACTTTTTTTTTTAAATTTCATCCCCCCAGCCTCCCTACCTTTGGGAGTGCTGAGAGGATTCCCTGGGGTCCAGTGGTGTCACCTGGCGGCCGGTCCTCTTCAGCTCCTTCACGAGCCGCATACTGATGCCAGAGCCGGAAGATGACGTCATCTGAAGAGGAAGCACTCAGCCAGGGAGAGTGCTCCCTCGCGCGCCCGCCGGGTGACAACAGGGCCAGCCTCGGGGGGCCCTGAGGTGACCAGCTGCTGGGCCGCCCAGGAGAAAAGGCTGGCTACACTGGGTACATACCAGGTCGCAGGGCCCCCTGCAACCCCGGTATGTACGCCACTGAATGTGGGGCCCGGGACGACCTGAGCAGTCCGGGCCCTCCAGGACCACCGGGCCCATGACAACCGTTATGGTTGTCATGCCCTGATGGCGGCCCTGCTGACACCCACCCTCACTGCGAGTTCAATTTTCCTGAGGTGTGCACTGTAAATATCTTCCCGGGCCCTGTGAGCCTCCAATCCTGCCTCTTTCTTATTTATGGTGACAGCTACCAGCGTGGCCAGGAAGAGTCTCATGGAAAATGTAACAGGCATTGGTGTGGCCCTGGGGTGGTAACCCCTGATGCAGCACTGGAAATTTCACACTTGCTGCACTCATCTCTCAATTTTCCATTGAAAAGTTATAACATCATATTTATAAAAGCACAGTTGGCTAAGATGCAGCAGGGTCATCATCAACCTATTGTTTCTGCAACATTTTGGAATTGTTTCATTTATTGTTAAATTTCTCCCCTTTATGATATTGTAAAGTGCTGCGGAATAAGTTGGCGCAATAGCAATGCCAACAATAATAATTATATGCAATGTGGCAGAAACTGAATATAAGAGCACAATACTGTTTTGTAGGTTTTGTAGGTGGGAGGTGCTGTGTTGAAGATCGTAATGAGAAGAAGAGACAAGAGAGCTATAGTCACCCGCTCCCACCCTTACCTCCATGGAATTATTCTGAATATTTTTAGGTTTCATTTTTTAATAAAATAATATTTACACATTATATATTCATATTTATATGCATACCTACACACACACACACACACACACATGCATACATACCTGCATATAAAAAAAAGAAACTTTTGTTTTTTAAATGTTCATTTCATGAAGTATATTTTATTTGTGTTGTTTTTAAGAGGCAAAGTCATCCTTTTGTTTATGGTTTAGGGAGGTTAGATATGGTTATTGTTTAAGCTGAAAAGGCAAACATTCTGGCGAATGCATGACTAAATGGCTAATGAAAGCAGATGTATATTTTTCTATTGGTTTATTAATGTTTATTAATTTGTTTTAAGGTATGCACTGCACAAGAAAGGAGAAAACATGAGAATTGGAGAAAAGACAGGTAACCATGGGTGATGATGAATAGAATCTTTACTGTGTAGAATGTGAATCATATACCAGGAAGAGAACTGGAATGCTGTATTAAACAGAAATATGTTGGCAAGAGGTGAGGTATTAATAGAAGAGGGTATTGGCAACCAGTCTTCTATAAAACTGTCAGTCTCTGATTGCTATGAACATCCACTTATCCGTTTGTAATTGTTTTTTTCTTCTTTTAATTTATATTTTATTGAGTTAATTACATCGTTATCAAACTGTTTTATTAGTTATGATAAATGAACAGCGTATGGTAAGCAACGTATTAGGTGAGTATAACAACATAACTACTGGTGGTATGACAGGAATGGGCTGTCTCTTGGGATCAACAGGTATGGCAACCTTTGAAAACTTGGTATTTTGAACCCAGTGGTTAAGCTATCGGTGCTACATAAGTCCCAGCCTCTGAGCAGGAGGTGGTTAGGTCTCCAGACTACGGCACCCATGGAACCAACTCGCCTCAATTGAGGCATCTGATATGGTATGGACTGGTAAGTGTTCCCAAAGCACCTAGGCCAGCGTCCCGGCTTCTTAATGGTGGGTGCACTTTCTTGGGTACCATCTTTGGCGGTTGTGTAGTCGCGTTGTTGTTCCTGGTTTTAAGGTCCCGGACTTAGTTTTTTGCCTCTGGAGCAGTTCCTCGTTGGTTGTTGGACAATCCCAGTGCCTGCACGAGCGACTCTGGATCTTCCGCTGACGTCAACATAATGGTCTCTCCTCCATTCTCCACCAAGAGGGACCCCTCCATTCCCCAGCGGTATTTCATGGAGTGTTCTCTTAATCGACTAGCAATTGGAGCCAGCTTCCTCTTCTCTAGCAGGACTGAGAACGGGATGTCTGCATATATAGCGACAGCATGCTCCCAATATTGTATCGCCCCCATCTCCCGCGAGTGGGTCATAATCACCGATCTCGCTGCGATACCTCTCGTCACCGCAATTATATCTCTGGGTGTGCTGCTTGGCATCGCTGCTGATTTCCTCACAATGAACACAGATGTTATCATAGGCTATGCAGGGGTGTATTTAATTCCTATGTGTGTAAGCATGTCTTTGATAAAAATAGGTTGTGTCTCTGTGCTTACTTGCTCTGGGATGCCCATGAGTCGTATGTTTTTCTTTCTGTGGAGCATCTTTAGGGTGGTCACCACTCTGTTGAGGTGCTGAGCTTGGGCGGAAAGTCCTTCGAGTTTGTTATCTCTGTCTTGTATGTGTTTGGACCTGTCAGCCTCTATCCTCCCCAGCTCCCTCACCTTTTTGTAGACTGCACCGATCTCTGCCTGAGCCACGTAGAGGTCTTCTTTCCAGAGGTCAACCAGGAGCCTCCTGATGTCTCCTTTTGTGGAGGGTACTTCATCCTCACCCGAAGCAGAGATGGGGGTCGTAGCCCGAGAGCAGGGAGAGGTGAGAGGATCTTCCTCCCCCAATGAGGCCTCTGATGACTACAGGATGTCTACCGGCTCCGGTGTCATTGAAGACTGCTGCGCTTAAAGGAGAGCCGAATATCTGGCTGACAGGGAGCCTCTGACTGACGGTGTTTCTTGTTTTTTTACCCCATTGTCTCTGCTTGTGGGGGGTGCTTTTTTGGTGCAGAATTTTCTCTCTTTGTGGCTCTAAGTCTCGGGTTTCCCCTACGACCGGTTGGAGCCCAGGGAAAAGACGTTTGTGTTCTTGTAATTGTTTTTAGGGTGCCAGAGACAAGGGTTCTTTTTCATAGAGAATAGATGACAATTGAGACCCCCGCCGGGGGTCGTCCCGGCCCACACTGGCTCAACGCACATAACTCTGACGATTCCTAAAACAGCATGCAGACTGAGCCTGGCAAGTGGCGACAAGATGGCGGACAACACTCCCTCATTGGAGCGCACATCCACGCAGCCTCACGGAAATCAGCATGGCACGATGGAGCAAACACTCCAATAGCTCGACGTTATCTTCCATTAGTTCTGGGCAAAGTTTATGGCGCGACTGTACCAGCCACCGCAAAACACGATGAAGGAGGTGGGGAGTGGAGGGGACGATAGGTGGAAACGGCCTCTCTCGGGCAAAGCTCACATACCAGCATCGACTCTCCATACTCAAGGCCTACCCTGGTCCTGAGGAAAGTGCCACGGCGGCATAGACCACACCGCAGGAAGACCACCCACCGCTGGTGGTGGCAAAACACCTGGGTTTCCCGATGCGCCCATCAAGAGAAAGACTCTGACTCCTGGAGCCATCGAGTCTGTGGCCTACAGATGCCACCCTCCATACACGCCTGGGCTGGAGGAAGTCCTCAACCTGCCCGCTTAAAACTGTAGCACAATGCAGTCTTGCGGTCCCTGTGACTCCTCAGCCGAGAATGGGCATTGGTTGAAAACGGGACAGCTGGTGTGCGAACTCTCACTGCTGCCAACGAGCAGGTAACACGTGATTCTGCCATTGATAGCCCCTGGGGCCACCACGCCAGAGCCAATCTGTGTTTACACAAGCTTAGGGGATATGCTTGCGATAGGGTGCAGAGTCTCAATAGATTTCCACGTTCCAGTGATCTACTCAAGGATCTAGCATGTCCTGCAGAATAATGAATCACAACAATATTCATGCCTAACTAGTCCAGTTTCACTCATAGCTTCTGTTTTGTTGTCAGTTGCGACCTAGCCTTTAAAACTTGTATCTCTTTAAGCAATGGACGCTGATACCAGAGCATACCATGATTTCCACTACTTTGCATAGCAATTAATCTGTTTAGCAACATAACTATTAGAATTGTTTTAGCTTAATGTCCATAATGTTATCCATGTCTACTCAGTTCAGTTTTAGCTTGTTTATCTTTAAAAAAAAAAAAAAAAATGAAGCATTACTATCTAAGAGATGTTATACTATGCTGTGATATCCCTGTCTTGTATACAAATCGTGCATTTCCTTTTCTTCATTCTGTAACCCCAAATCATATGCCTTAATAAAAGAAAAACAATTAACAAAAAAATAAGAACTGTAAATTGGTGGTGTTAAGTGGCATTGTCTACCAGTACTAGGATGAATGAAGCAGACTGTCTCTACTGCTCAACATTTGAGTAACTAAGCAAAAAGTTTTTTTTTTATTTTCCTAACTGCATATTGATAACCTAGTTCTACCCCATGATCAATATTCTATATTCCACTCAAATTTCTTTTCACTGCCCCAGACAAAAAATGATTCTGTATTTTCAGGTTCCTCTTAATTTACAGTCAGCAGCACCACCCTCTGATCAGGAGCAAATTTCTATGGGAACCATTCTTTCTCAGATCCTGTGACAGCTTACATGTAGCTGTCTCTAGAGGTGACATTACCATGTATGCACTTTAAATAGATACCATGGTCACCCATTTGTGATGGAGAGGACAGATGAAAGATGGCAAAATGGTAGCTCCCAAGATGTGTTAGAACTACATATCCTGTAATGAGTTGCTAGTCAGAAGAGAGATGTAGTCCTACAACTGGGGAACTACCTTTTGGCCACCCCATGATAGGTGAATGAATCACGTGTACTTAAATTTGTCACATTAAATGAATGCTGTAGTGTAAATAAAATGAATGTTGTAGAGTATCTCAATGTTATGACATTTACCTACCTCAGTCTGTGTGTTACATACAGGGAGAAGACCCAGGTGTTGGATATGATTCATTCTTGGGAACAAAATCATCACTGCTTGCAGGCCTCCAGACAGTAAATGGAGCTACTCTACAAAGAAATCTAAAATTGGAACATACCGCACATACCAGAGAGGGTTCAATGTGTGATATTATGTAACCAGATCACATTATTCTCATAACTTGTTCCGGAATATCAACATGATTGCAGTATGTCACATGTTCACAGCTCCATTTAAAGGGAGAATTCTTACATAATTCAGTTTACTGCGTTTATTGAGGTCAAGGAAGATAGTATCAGCTTTTAGAAAAAAAAATAATAATCTTTCCATGTTATTATATTGAAATTTAAAGGACCACTACGTAACCACTGCAATTTGTTCTAGTGGTTATGTTGCCAAAAGTGCCTTGCTGCCCTTCCAGAGTAAGCAGTTAAGCCGTTGAGGGTTCCACCATTGAAAGCCGGCAACGTTCTGCTCAGAGCTAAGCAGTGCAGGGCTTAGCTCATTGGCTGAGAAAGATCAGTTGATGCTTTCTGCCAGTCAGCTAATGTGCAGGAGCTTCAGGCTCTCAATGTACCCAAGGTAAGTTATCAAACTGTTGACATATAGTTTAACTACTTACCCAATAAAGGCACCAAGCCACTTCTGGAGCCAAAGCCAATACAGCCCTGCAGTACCCAATAAACCCATTTACATACGTGTGTGCAAGGTCTGTGCTATGTGTACCCAGGCAAATTGATACAATGCCACATTTTCCTCTCTGTCTCTCATTTGGATCTGCATTTTACATTAGTTTTTATAAACCCGTTACCTGCTGTAGAAAAAGATCACAAAAATTGTTTATTAAAACTGAAACGATAATTGGCGATAATTTTTTTTTGTAAATTCTTTATTTTGGTGGTTTTCAGTGTTTTAAAGAGGTTGGGGTACAGAATAAAGATAAGGGGTGGAGTAGCAAACATTGTTGTTACACTTGAGTTTGGTAGCTTAATACATTGTAGGTCACATAACCTATTTACAGCAATAGTACTTTTGTTTACATCAGGACCAGAGTGGTCTACATCTTGTGTGGCCCTCTGTCTTTCTTGGTCATTGTCTGTGGGGTGTTGTGTATACGTGTTGTGGGTTAGGTGCTTTACGGTGTCTCCAGTTTTTGTCTTGTCGTCATGTTTGTCTTTGGGGGTGTAGGGGTTTGCTACTGGAGGTAAGTCTGAGTTGGGTTGGGGTTTTAGCGTAATATTTTATTTAGGTTAAGTACAATTAAGTTCACTATGTCTTTAATAGAAAAAATTAACAATAGATATTAATAAATAGTAAGTATAATATTTGCCACTTACAATAACAAGCAATAAAGAAAAAATACAATTATAAGGTGCACACCCTAAATAGATATATCCGATGACAAATTTTAGGCTAAAATAGCTGAACAGTAATCACAGCTGATTTCAAATTTGACTGTTTTGTCTTGAAATTTGAAATTTGATTTGAATGTCCAAGGATTATCACAGCCCTGTTTACAAATGTGAAGACACGTGAAGAGTTGTTGTGAACATCTGTTACTTCCTGGTTCACAGAGATAGGCAGGGAAGGGTCGGCCATAATTTTATGCCAATGGAATATTTAATCTCCCAATATATTTACTTGGCTTTTCTCCATAAGGTAATGCCTGATTATATACAGGATGTGAGTCACCATCAAGGACTTACTTTACCTGAAAGTCAGGGAGGGTCAGTTTTAAATGTAAATATTCATTTTAGCTTTGATGAAATCATCTATTGTCCTCTCTGAGAATCAGTCTCTTTGAGAAGGCTTGAAATGCGTATTGGAGTCTAAATTGTGAAAAAAACGACACATTTATCTTTTGGGCACCTGTGGCATTGGGGTATGAAGCAGAGGGATAATTTTCTCTGTGTCACTTACTACCTCTCAAGAGTCCCTATTTAGGAGTAACAGTCCCTATTTTGAGACAAAAACCCTGAGTCCTTCTTTCCTAACCTAATGTCCCTCTTTCCTAGGAGCTCCATATTGTTGTTGTGTCTGAGTGTAGAACAGAGCAATAATACTCATTGTACTGTGTCTTTAACCCCTTAATGACGAGTGACGGACAAGGTCTTAAAGGACCACTCTAGGCACCCAGACCACTTCAGCTTAATGAAGTGGTCTGGATGCCAGGTCCCTCTAGGATTAACCCTTTTTTTTATAAACATAGCAGTTTCAGAGAAACTGCTATGTTTATAATAGGGTTAATCCAGCCTCCAAATCCTCTAGTGGCTGTCTCATTGACAGCAGCTAGAGGCGCTTGCATGATTCTCACTGTGAAAATCAAAGTGAGAACACGCAAGCGTCCATAGGAAAGCATTGTAAATGCTTTCCTATGAGACCGGCTGAATGCGCACGCAGCTCTTGCCGCGCGTGCGCATTCAGCCGAAAGGGAGGATCGGAGGCGGAGAGGAGTGCTTCCCGCCCGGGACTGGAATAAAGGTAAGTTTTAACCCTTTACTCTCCCCAGAGCCGGACGGGAGGGGGTCCCTGAGGGTGGGGGCACCCTCAGGGCACTATGGTGCCAGGAAAACAAGTATGTTTTCCTGGCACTATAGTGGTCCTTTAACGACAAGGGGTTAATGGTGCTCCGGTTTGCCTCTGTATTAGAAGCAGACCGGGAGCACCCGATCAGGCTGCCCAGCACATGTGCTCGCTCTGACAGCATGTCAGAGCGAGCACATGTGCTTAGTATACTCGCCTTCCGCCTCCCTGCACTTCCTGGTTCTGTGCGAAGTGCAGGGAGACGGATCAGTGATGATCTTGCCCCCTGTTGGAAAAAAAATGGAATGGCTGTGTCCCAAATGTGCCTCTCCGATGTCCACATATACCTGGCAAAGGTACATACGGGGGTATTGCTGTACTCAGCCGACATAGCTTAGCAACATATGAAGTATTATTCAGTGGTAGCACACATAAAGTTTGCAAAATATACTGTGCAAACTGTGTGTCAAAAAGGCAGAAAAAACACTTATTACCACTACACTTGGTACAAGCTAGCGGAAAAATGATCCCACGCTAAGGTTCGAAACATACCTTTTGAAATACCCTGGGGTATCTACTTTAAGAAATGGTTGGCCTTTGTGGGGTAGTTTGAATTTAAACCCTGCTAAGATGCTTGGAAATTGCACATAGGCCCAGCGTCAAAATTCAAAAGTTCGGTAAAAACTGATATGGCTTGGTCTCCTATATGGCACTCTAGCTTCATGAAATAGTGCCAAAGACATTCATTGGGGGTGTCTTTTTACTCAGAAGACTTAGCCGAGCATAATGTGGGGGGGGGTTGAACTTAGTGCCACATGTGAAATATACAAAATGCCCAGCAAAAATGCAATCCATATGTAAAAAACGCACAAAATTATTTTTTATCACATACTTTAGCATATATTGGTGAAAAAATGGGGGCATGTTAAGGCACAATATGCACCTTATGAGATACTCTGGAGTGTCTACTTTTACAAATGGTAGGCCTTTGTGGGGGTTTTTTGAACAGTTAAACTGGTATAATACCCCAAATGGGAGCATAGGCTCATTAAATCCGTCTTTCAAAATTCTACTGTGAATACTGAAAACGACAGGTCTCCTATATGGCACTGTAGCTTCACGAAATAGTGCCAAAAACATACAATGGGGGTGTCATTTTACTCAGAAGACTTAGCTGAGCATAATTTGGGGGGTTTGAATTTAGTGGCACATGTGAAATATACAAAATGCCCAGCAAAAATGCAATCCATGTGTAAAAAACGCACAAAATTATTTTTTACCACATACTTTGGCATATATTGGTAAAAAAATGGGGGCATGTTAAGGCACAATATGCACCTTATGAGATACCATGGAGTGTCTACTTTTACAAATGGTAGGCCTTTGTGGGCTTTTTTGAACAGTCAAACTGTTATAATACCCCAAATGGAAGCATAGGCTCATCAAATCCGTCTGTAAATATTCTACTGTGAATACTGAAAAGAACAGGCCTCCTATATGGCACTGTAACTTCACGAAATAGTGCCAAAGACATACAATGGGGGTGTCATTTTACTCAGCAGATGTAACTAAACACAAAATAAAACTTTGTACAGGAATAGCACACACCAACTTTACAAAATACACATGATAATTTCTTTGTTATAAGTTTGTGTGCCAAAAACCAAAAAAAACACAATTGTACTCCAATATTTAGCAGAGGTTGGCGGTGAAATGGCTACGTAGAAAGTGTCAAAAAAACCCTAAGTAAATAGCCTGTGATGTCTACTTTATATAAATATATACTTTTGTGGGGCAATTTTGTTTTCTTTTATGGCTATTAAGCTTACAAGACAAACATACCAAATTCTAAAATCGCTCCACATTAAAAGTATATTTTACTCCTTGTGCTTTGTGACCTGTAACTACCAAAAAAGCTTAAAATCCCAGACACATTATATATTCTGTAAATCAGAACAACTAAATGAATTTATTTTTAATTACTTTCCTTAACCTGCACTAATTATGCAAACATTATTATTGCAAAAACTGTAAAAAAAAAACAAAAAAATTCATTTTTGTTGCATTTTTCTGTATTTTTTTTATAATAAATAAGCATTTATATATATGTGTGTTACATCAATTTAAAGCCCTTTCTGTCCTTTAAAAAATGGTATATAATATGTGTTGGTGCAATAAATTAGTAAAATGCAAATTGCAGTTGAACGCAAACAGCAAAAAATAAAAAAAATGCTGTTGTCATTAAGTGAAAGACAAGCTTCTGAAGCTGTCCTTAAGGGGTTAAAATGCAATCGAAGTGTTTAAAAATCAGTCTGTGTAAATAAGATACATTGCTCTTGTTCTAAATCACATTTAAGTTTTATAAATTGTTATTAGTAAGTCACATCAAAGTTGTTAGAAAAGCCTGCCCAGCCACACCCTCAATCACACCAATAAAATTAAAGTGTTCCACTTTCTCCATTTAAAATGTTGGGTGATATGCTATGGTCTTGCCAACCCAAACTACCAGTGACTAAGTGTATCACATTATGCTCTACCATCCTCCATCTGCAAAGGACAGTAGGTCAGAGGTACCCATAGGCAGGGCCGGACAGGGAAAAAAAATCGGCCCGGGAATTTTTTATCCACAGCAGCCCACTGAAAAGAAGGAGGGCCATATAGGGTGTGTTTTGTCATCCCCAATGAATAAGTCGCCTGGAGGGGCTATGGAGGAAGGAAAGAGTTGCATGGAGGGGCTGCGGGTGCAGGGATGAGACACATGTGGGTGCCCAGGGCACTTTTCCCACCGGGGCCCAGTGATTTCTAGCTACGTCTTTGCCCACAGCAGGGTAGGTTTGTAAAGGGTGAGGGAGAAACTTTAAGACGTGATTACACAAACTGATAATCCTCAGACGAACTCACATGAAGTTGCAACATTTGTAACAGAGTAAGTGGATACCTGTATATAAATGTATTTATTTTTCTTAAGAGGAGGGCTGGGCACACAGCCATTTTAATTTCTTAATCTATTTTGGCAGAGGGACAAGCTGGCATTAGAGTTGGAGTTCTGGGAGCGAGTACACTTGTCAAGACTCATCATTTAGGTGCCAGGGCTGTTATTGCGGATACAGAAAGCAGGTATAAGACATTATGTTAAATCCAACCTCTATCCCAAACCCCACACACAGCAGCCACTGCCATGTTTGCACCCAGGATTTCCAACCTTACTCCGCTACCAAAGACAAGGCAGGAAGAAAGGGGGGGATGGAGATATGAGAAGAAGGATAAAAGTGTCGGAAAGAT